TACAAATAGTTGAAGTCTTGAGAGGTGGAGAGGACTGCATGTCTTTGCTATCTGCTATCTGGAGTTAGTAGAGGATGTTTCAAAGAGGGAGCATTGCTCTTATCACTCCTTCAGGTGGAGTTGCATTTGTATGAGCAGAAGACTGAAGAATGGGATGTCAGGGGAGAGAGCTGCCTGAGACTATCTGGCCTAGGATGTTTGTGAGACAGTGAAGAGAGCAACCCACCGAAGTGGCTGTGCACTGGGCCACATTACACCTTTAGGTGGATGGGTAAGGCCATGGAGTAGCAAAAGAGTCTTTGGGAGGAGGGTGACAGTTCAGTTTATCTTTTTTTATCATTTTTGAGCAAAAAAAAAAAAAGGGCAATCTGAATAGGAAGTTGGTCCTCAAGAAGAAAAGTTGAGCATCCTCTCAACTAAAACATTTGGACTGGCTGGGCACGGTGGCTCATACCTGTAATCCCAGCATTTTGAGAGGCTGAGGCGGGTGGATCACCTAAGGTCAGGAATTTGAGACCAGCCTGACCAATGTGGTGAAACCCCGTCTCTACTAAAAAAAAAAAAAAAAAAAATAGCCAGGCCTGGTGGCAGGCGCCTGTAATCCCAGCTGCTCAGAAGGCTGAGACAGGAGAATCACTTGAACCACGGAGGCAGAGGCTGCAGTGAGCCGAGATCGCACCACTGCACTCTAGCCTGGGTGATGAGAGTGAAACTCCGTCTCAACAACAAAAAAAAAATTTGGACTTATCCTTTGGTCTGTTCCTTGTAAACTCTTATGTTAACATACCTTTTAGAAACATCTTACTTTCGATATCACATAGTCTTGGATCTGGCATAATTTAAGTGATATTTCCCAAAGAGATTTCTCCACGAAAGGTCAGCTACAACTTGTCTGCTTGGTCTCTGGCCCCAGCCCCCATGTTTCAGGTCTTCACCTCCCAGTCCTTCTCTAATCAGATCTCCCCATCCTGTGTCCATTTGATTCCCGAGGATCCCACCAGGTGCCTGGTTAACTTGTCTCAAATAAATGTATGGAACAAAGGTGTTCAACATTGATAATGCAAAATATACAGTTACATGAAGAGGAAATCTGATGAAGGAAAAGATGTTCAATCTCACTAGTAATCAGAAGAGTGCAAATGTGAGATAATTTTTCAATTACCAAATGAACAAAGATGAAAAAGAATGAAAATACCGAAGTCTGGGAGACTTCAGGGAAATGTAAGATCTCACTGGTGGCACTGGGCACTGACACAAGCTTTCTGGAAAACAGTTTGGTAATGTTTGTTATAAATGTAAAAATGTGCAGACACAGCAATTCCACTTCTGAGAGTTTATTCTAAAGAAATTATTGAGCAGGGACTAAGGATGTTCTGACCAGCCTTAATTAATAATAAAGAATAATTAGAAATAATCTGAATGTCCACCAGTTGAGAACTGTTCCTATCAATTATGGTACGTTCAGACAGTGGAATACTAGAAACACTTCAGAATGATGTTTTTTTCTCTTTTTTTTTTTTTTTTTTTTTTTTGAGACGGAGTCTTACTCTGTCGCCCAGGCTGGAGTGCACTGGTGTGATCTCGGCTCACTGCAAGCTCCGCCTCCTGGGTTCACGCCATTCTCCTGCCTCAGTCTCCCAAGTAGCTGGGACTACAGGCACCCACCACCATGCCCAGCTAATGTTTTGTATTTTTAGTAGAGACGGGGTTTCACCATGTTAGCCAGGATGGTCTTGATCTCCTGACCTCGTGATCTGCCCTCCTCGGCCTCCCAAAGTGCTGGGATTACAGGCGTGAGCCACCGCACCTGGCCCAGAATGATGTTAATACTAATAGACACGAAAGGATGTCCATTAGATACTATGCCCTTAAGGTCCTTGTGGTGCCATTAATGTAAAGTTAATGCAAACATGGGCATATGTGCACGCATGCACAGGCATATGTGGGTGCATGCACAGGGAGATCTAGAATGGCAGTTACCAAAATATCAACCATCAAGACATCAATATGATGTCTCCTGGTTGGAGAAGCTTTGAATGACTTTGCTTTCTTCTTTTTTTTTATTGTTCCTAAAATTACAAAAGTAATATTCTTTATTTTTAACTTAATAGCTAACATTAACAGAGTATTTTGTGTGCTAGGCACTGCTCTAATTGCTGTACACTATTATTATTACTGAAGAAATCAAAGGTGATGAGAGATTAAGTAACTTACCTGAGATTCTCAGCTAGTAAATGATGGAGCTGGTTTTCAAAACCTGATAGTGTTGCTTCATAGACTGCGCTCTTTTTTTAAAAAAAATGTAGACGGAGTCTCACTCTGTCACCCAGGCTGGAGTGCAGTGGTGCCATCTCGGCTCACTGCAACCTCTGCCTTCCAGGCTCAAGTGATCCTCCTACCTCAGTCTCCCAAGAAGCTGGGACCACAGCTGCGTGCCACCATGCCCAGCTAATTTTTTGTATTTTTTGGTAGAGTCAGGGTTTCACCATGTTGCCCAGGCTGGTCTCAAACTCCTGAGCACAGGCGATCCACCCGCCTGGGCCTCCCAAAGTACTGGAATCACAGTCATGAGCCACCTCACCCAGCCTAACCACTACACTAACTAACCCCAATAGAGTGAAAGTCTTAAATCCCGCCCCAACAACAATCCTACTCCTCTGCTCAAAGTAATCATTGTTAACCATTTGACATGGATCCCTCCAAAACTTTTGCTTTCTCCAGACACATGTGCGTGCACACACAAGTGTGTTTTTCTTTTTTATAAAATGGGATGGGTGTCCGTCCTGTCAGCATGTGAGTTCACCCTCGTATTTTTTATTTATTTCTGGGGGATCCACAGCATGGACATACAGAATTGATGTAATCATGCTTCTACTGAAAACCTGGTGGTTTCCAGTTTTTTGGCCTAACAGATAAGGCTTCATCTAGCGTCCTTGTATACATATTACAGGGTGTGGCAGTGTAATTATATTCCTCTGATCGTTTCCTAGAAATGGAACCGCTGGGTCAAAAGGCATGCACACTGAGTGTTGAAAGAGGCTGCCCACACCAGGAAGGCTGTGTCATTACACCTGCAGCAGATAAGAGGCCACCTCCCTATGTTTTCACTGACATAGGAAGTTGTCAATCTTTTTAACTTTTGCCCATGTAAGAAATGAAGAATGTTATTTCATTTGTAGTAATTTAAAAGTCCGTGATTACTGGTAAAGTTGAGCATCTTTTCATATGTTTATTGGCCATCTTCATTTCTTCTCAGGATTGTTTACTTTCTATTGGATAATTTGAGTTAATTGGTTGTATTATAAATATTAGTCTTTTGGTGCTTTCTTTGTTGCAGATATTTTTCTCAGCACATTTCTTCAAACTTGATTTGTATGTTTTACTATATAGAAGTTTTCATTTATTTTAGTTTTGTGTAATCAAATCTGTCCTTTTTTTTTTTCTTTATGGTTTTATACATATGGTTTTGTTTAGGAAGTCTTTCTCCACAATATTCTCCAAGAATATAAGAATGCTCTCCTATATTCTCTTCTAGTACATTTGCATTTTTGCTTATATATTTATTTTTATGTTTAGACTTTAGTCCATGAAGAATTTAGTATTGTTTTTGGTGAAAAGTAGGGATTTAACTTTCTATTTTTAGGTTGGTTGTCTTTTAAACAACTCCTTCATCAAAACCCAAATTCCGTGACTAGGCGTGGTGGCTCACAACTGTAATTCTAGCACTTTGGGAGGCCAAGGTGGGCCAATCACTTAAGCCCAGGAGTTCAAGACCAGCCTGGGCAACATGATGAAACCCCATCTCTACAAAAAATACAAAAATTAGCCAAGCAAACTGGTGCATGCATGTAGTCCCAGCTACTTGGGAGGCTGAGTTGGGAAGATCACCTGAGCCCAGATGGTCGAGGCTGCAGTGAGCTGAAATCATGCCACTGCACTCCAGCCTGGGTGAGACTCTGTCTAAAACAACAACAACAACAACAACAAACCTGAATTCCCATGGATATACAGATCTGTTTCTGGACTGTTGTGCCATTGATCCCTTGTCTATATCTGGCCTGGAATCACACAGCTTTAATTACTGAAGCTTCTCCACAAGTTTTTATATGTGCTAAGGCATGCCCCATCCCCATTTCTCCTCGTTTTTCAACTTTCCCCAACCATTCTCATATGTTTACTTTTTTTAGAGGAACTTTAGAATTAGATAGTCATGGGCCAAAAGTCCTCCCTTGGGATTTAAGTTGTAATAGATTGGCGCTACCCATGCATTTGTGGTTGACATTTTACAAAGGGGAGCTAGGTGTCTCCAGCCAGGACTCCTTGCTCCCCTGGCTCTGTCTGAGGTCTTTCTACTTGAACACCCAGCCCATGATTCCAAGGCTTCTAGAAAGGACAGATCCCTATACATCCTTGGTTAATTTTCTTTCCTTCCCCGGATGGCATGTGGATTTTTACCTGAACTTTCAGAGACAAAAAGAGTGTAAAGCATGGAAACCTCAGACCTTGCAGGGGAACTCAGGGAGAAATATTTTTCGTCAGGGAACATTTTTCCTGCTCCCAGCAAACCACACTGAACACTCATGTGTGAACAGCCTGAGATAATCAGGTTCCAGTTGAGGCTTTTTAAAAAAACAGCCTTATTGTTCTAGAGTAACTTAAAATTCTCTAATTGTAAGTGTACTGGTAAATGATTTTTAGAAAATGTATGGAATTGTGCAACCATGTCCATAATCCAATTTTAGAACATTTCCATCACTCCCAGAAGATCCCCCATGCCCCTATATAGTTCTCTGGATGCCACTTTCCTTAACATGACAGTATCAGGAGGAGTGGGGGACAAATTAGGGCATTCCCAAGAGATCCTCTGCCTATGAGTCTAGGACCAACACCACAACCACATACATAGCATGACCCCACAGGACACCCATCTCTTGGGGAGACCCAGGTGGGCCTCCTCCTGAGGGCCCTGGCCACACTGAGCCCCATCCTTACCCTTCCAGGTGGATAAAGTTTGAAGAAAAGGTAGAGGAAGGCGGTGAACGCTGGAGCAAGCCCCACGTGTCCACACTGTCCCTGCACAGCCTCTTCGAGCTCCGTACCTGCCTGCAGACGGGGACAGTGCTGCTGGATTTGGACAGCGGCTCCTTACCACAGATCATAGGTGAGGCAGGGGCCACTATGTGCATCTCTCCTGTGGTTTCTGCAAACCAGGCAGCTCCCCTGACCTCATGCCTGCCCTCGAGTCTATGTGACTGGCCCATCTCTGACACCTGATTCTGCAGAGACCAGAATTGCAGACCTCTGTTGCTCCCAGGGCAGGATCATAGTCACTCCAAGTTTCAGTTTCATGTAGACCTCCAGTAGAGACGAAAAGACCATCCTCCAAAATGCCAACCAGAAATGTAGCAAAGGGGAGAGGGCCTCTTGCATAGTCAGAGACACCTGTTTCTTTTCAGGGTAAACTGGGTCATCATTCATCTTTAGGAAATTAGCTGTCATTTAGTGGTGTGTCAAAGGGAGGAGGTGGCTTGCCTTAACACCCCTAAAATTTTCTGTGATTTTTGTTCTAGCACAGTGGATTTTTCCAGAAGTGTTTTGCCCAAAATACTTTTCTAAAAAGAGTTCGTTTTAGGATTAAAACCATTGAACACAGGATTTTTGTGCCTCCTGGGGCAGTTTCGTATGTACTGTTTCTTTCCCTTTTCATAAGAACACTGACAGAAAGAGCAGAGTCACACACACACACACACACACACACACAGACATGCACATGCCCTTGAACAGGAGGAGGCCAAGAGTTGATGATGTGCCCAGTTTTCCACAGCTAGTGGCAAATCTAGGAGTATTTCCACTGACCCCCTGCCACATTTAATCTCACTAATAACAGGTGAAACTGAAGACCCCCATACCCTGGGGCGGTTCTGTCCCACAGGGACGAGGTGTGTATGTTTTCCACGCAGATGATGTCATTGAGAAGCAGATTGAGGATGGTCTCCTGCGACCAGAGCTCCGGGAGAGGGTCAGTTACGTCCTCCTGAGGAGGCACCGTCACCAAACCAAGAAGCCCATCCACCGCTCCTTAGTCGACATTGGGAAGTCAGTCTCCACCACAAGTGAGTCAGGCCTTACGCTGGTAGGCATGGGACATGCAGGGCCAGTATCAGGCCCTGGTACCTGGGTGAGCCCACCTTAGGGGCTGGGAGTTTCTGGAGAAATTCTGGTGTTCTGGGGATCCCTCAGCCTCTGTCTCTGGCAGGCCTGTGGGGACCCCAGCCACACTCGCATGTTGTTCCCACCACCAGAGCAGAACAATTTCTAGGGAGAGAGTTGGTTCTCAGCTAGGGCTGCACATGGCAAATCACTTTGGAGATTGAGACGTGTCCTAATGCCTGGACCCCTGGAGAGTTGGAGTCAGTTGGTCTGGGGTATGGCCTGGAAAAAGAGAGAGAGGTTAGAATGCACCCCAAGAGATTCTCATGTCACACAGCATTGGGAAATGCTGGTAGAGATGGCTTGCTATGGAAAGGACCCAAAAGTTTCACATCAAACCCCCTGGAGAGGTCAAGAGCCTCAGCAGAAAATGGAACACATCAGGGTGGTAGAAGGGGCTGGGCTTATCTCAAGAGTGCCAGGGCTTGTAGATCTGGTGGTTGATGTCACTGTGATTAGCAGGACCTGGGGCCATTCAGAGAGAGTGAATTGTTCCACGCGCACATCTCAAATCTCCAACACTCCACTATCAATATCCGAGCCTAGATGCCCAGAGACACTAGCCCTGCTGAGCCTGTCAGACAAACACAGTAACCACAGCAAAGTTGCTACGTTAAAAACATTGAGGAGCCTCTAAATGAATTACTTAAAAATGGGAAGTGAGCTGGGCACGGTGACCCACAACTGTAATCCCAGCACGTTGAGAGTCCAAGTGGGCGGATTGCTTGAGCTCAGGAGTTTGTGACCGGCCTGAGTGACATGGCATCAACCCCATCTCTACAAGAAATACATAAACCTCATGGTTTAAACCCCATGGCATAAACCCCGCCTTACAAAAAATTAGCCAAGCATGGTGGCACACACCTGTAGTCCCAGCTAATCAGGAGACTGAGGTGGGAGGGTTGCTTGAACCCACGATATGGAGCTTTCAGTGAGCAGAGATTGTGCCATTGCACTGCATCCCGGGCGACAGAGCAAGACCTTGTCTCAAAAAATCCCTCCCAAACAACAGGAAGTGTTTAACATACCATAATAGCAACAGATACATACTCAGCACTTAACTACCTTCTGGGCACTATTCTGAGTGCTCTTCCTGTTTTAACTCACTTCATCCTAACAAAAACGCTGTGGTGTGTAGGTATGGTTCTTGTCTCCATTTTACAGATGAGACGCCTGAGGCACAGAGTTTAAGTAACTTGCCTAAGGTCACAAAGCCAGTAAGTAGACTGCTTGGGATGAACCCAAGCAGTCTACTACATCTTGTGCCCATTTAATGAACTGTGTATCTATCTCACTTTCAACAGTACAAATATTCTGTCTGTAATCTTGTTCTTTTTTTTTTTTTTTGAGACGGAGTCTCACTCTGTTGCCTGGGCTGGAGTGCAATGGCGTGATCTCAGCTCACTGCAAACTCTGCTTCCTGGATTCAAGTGATTCTCCTGCCTCATCCTCCCAAGTAGCTGGGATTACAGGCACCCACTACCATGCCTGGCTATTTTTTGTATTTTAGTAGAGACGGGGTTTCACCATGTTGACCAGGCTAGTCCCAAACTCCCAACTTCAGGTGATCCACCCGCCTCGGCCTCCCAAAGTGCTGGGATTACAGGCGTGAGCCACTGCGCCCAGGCTGTAATCTTGTTCAGACTATTGACTTGCTTAAATTTAAAAAAAAAAAAGAAAAAGAAAAAAAGAATTTCTTCCTAGAAGGGGAAGAGACATGTCTTGCTGCCCAGTTTTATTTATCTAAAGTGAGCTAACCCAAGAGGCTTCACTACACCAGCAAGGCTGTCGAAGCCAAGTCTCTTCTGATTCTCCTCCCAGATCGCAGTCCCGCCCGGAGCCCTGGTGCTGGCCCGAGTCTACACCACTCCACGGAGGACCTGCGGATGCGGCAGAGTGCAAATTACGGACGTCTGTGTGAGTGTGTGCTTCGCCACTCTGTGGCAACTTTATTGAGGCTGTGGCAGCTATGACATGGCCACATTGCCGTAGGTAGGGGAGACAAAGCCCAGGATCTGCCAAGAATTCTCAGGGCATGCATCAGGAGGAGCCTAACTTTCACTCTAAACCCAGGCTACTCTCAGGGCCTCATTTACTACCATAATATTCAAGTCATTCCTCTGAAAAATGAGGCTCTCAGTCACATCCTGGTGTAATCAATACCCACTCCCATGTTCTAGGTGTTTTTATCTTAGTCTATATCTTCATCTTCATCAAACTGACATTAACCCTGTTTTTTGGTGAAAAGCTTTCCTGGAAATGGAATAAAAAACAGGCGAGGTCCTTTCCTTCTGTTCAGTCAGGCAGCATTCCCATCACTGGGTGGCAGTCTCGTGCCACCATGAAAAAGAAATGTGGGCAGAGTCATGGCCCCTTTTTTCTGGGAATGGCTGGTCGGGGGCGGGGTGTGGGTTTGAGGTGAGAGGTGACAGACAGGCTTTTCACGCACCTCACCTCGTCAGGGATACACAGACAGGCAAACTGGGGGAAGAAAGGAGCGAACTTAGAAAATGAAGTGAAAAAGAAAAAGCAGTGTAGGACTATTTTCCTTTAGGTGCTTTTACTAAAATGCCAAGATGTTAACAAGTGCAGCCCAGTGCTGTGCCCCTGTCCAGGCCGAGGAGTGACTTGGGGGCAATGCAGCCCCTGCCCATGGCCTTGGGCACAGCAGGCGTTTGCTGCAGTCTTCTCTCTCTGTCCTGATGACCCAAGTCCACTGAGTCTCCCTGGCCTTGTTATTCCACATAGGGATGCCCAGTGGCAGTGTTCAGTGGGTAGAGAGTGGCTTCGGGAAGACCTTCCACTCAGTTGTCATTGTATATGAGGTCACCTCCCTACCAACACTGCTTGGGGGTGGGAACCACTGGGACAAGAGGCATGAACGGATGATGACAGCTTTGTGTGAACCAGGTCATATTCAAGGTGGGCACCCACCCTGAGGTGGCCCAGCATGCAGAACACAGCGCACAGGGGAAGAATCAGAGAGGAGGAGATGCTGACTGAGTCTTGGAGCATAAATAGATGTTTTCCAGGAGCAAGGAGGGGGAAGAGGGAGCTGTAAACAAAGGAAACAAATAGCAGGTGGGGGGATGGAAGAGAAGGATCTGGAGCTATGAAAGCAAAACATTGGTTCAGTTCACAGGAAGTGTAGGAGTTAAGGGGAAGAGAGGGTCAAATCAAAGAGGGCCTTGTGCACCCAGCAAAAGAACCCGGGTTTTATTCTGAAGATAATGGGAACCCCTGGGAAGCTTGAAGCAGGAGCATGCTGTGATCAGATTTCTGTCTGAGTAGGAATAATCTAGAAGGGGCAACATTGGAAGGCAGAGACTGAGCCTGCATTCTAGAATGGAGAGGAAGGGACAGAGGTAGAATTGAAGGACTGGTGGGAAGTAGGAGGTGATGAAGAGGGAGGGCCCAAGGCTGCTCCTAGATTTCTGTCTGAAGTGCTGGTGGATGGGAGGGAGGGGCATTGAGTGGAATGTGTCCAAGAGGAAAGTGATTTGGAGGGTAAAAGAGTTGCATTTGAGGTGCCAGAGGGGACTGCTCCAAGGAGTCTAGAGCTCAGAAGAGGGATCAGACTAAAGATGCATCCTGGGCGTCCTCAGCCCAAATGGGTGTTGGAAACAACAGGAGTGGGGGCTATTGACCAGTGGAGAGGCTGAGGCACCTGGAAGGGATGAGAGCAAAGACAAGGCCCTGGGAGGCCCAAGCAGGAGAGGATCCTCGGACAGAAATGAGAGGAGGAGAGCAAAGAGGAGCAGCATTCCAGACACCACGAGTGGCACAGTCCGATAGCCAAGACACGATAGGTCTGAGGGTGTCCGCCAGATTGGGCTAGTGGAAGAGGAGAGCTGGCTTTCTCCCTCTTAACAGAGGAAGGAACTACTGGGCAGTTCAAATAATTGACTATCACTGTTCTCATGGGGAGCCCACCTTCCTTCCCTCTGCCAGCCTAAATCCCCAGCCCACGTTTAAAGACTGTCACCGGTCATAGAGGACAGAGGTGAAACTGCTCCCCTCTCCAGCAAATTCCAAGCTAAGTGACACATGGAACCTCATGTAATAATACATCTGTGTCCCTCCTCCTATCCGGACCTGGTCCAGAGCCGCACCCAGAGTAGACAGCCTGGTGACATCCAAGAAGGCGGGGTGGAGGGGTAGAGACTAGAGTGTGGTAGATTGAGGAGGGAGAAGGAAACAATGGAACCTGGAGTCTGACACCTCTTTCAGGAAAGCGGTCATTGAACAGAAGGAAAGTGAGAGGGTCCTAACTTAAAGAGACTCCAAGATTAAGGGGGAGGGATTTGCTTTGTTATGAACATGGGAGAGGTACATGAGTAGAGTCCATAGGAAAGGGTCCTGTGAGAGCCTGGCTTCCCCTGATGGATCTTGTTTTCCTTCTCTCCTAGGTCATGCCCAGAGCAGAAGCATGAATGACATTTCTCTCACCCCAAACACAGACCAGGTAGTAAAACCCCTGCACTTAGCTGCAATGAAGGGCCAGGGCAGGAAGAAGTCTTTGGTTTCAGGAGCAGGGATCCCCTATGGGCAGAATTCCATTCCTACAAAGGAGTGGGAGTTCCAGGAAGGTCCCCAGTGGGGACTCTGGGCTGCCTGGGGGACTCTGCCAAGGCCAGCAGTCAGGGACTAGCAGAGTCCCAGGTGCTGGCTCTGTGTCAGGCCCTGGGGGTGTGGGACAGAAAACATGATCAAATGAGGCACCGGCTGTCCTTGAGCTTAGGATTTGTGGGAGAGAGAAGACCAGCACACATGGCTTCATCTATCCGGTGACCCACAAGCACCTTTAAAGATGGGATAGGGATTGGGGCTGGCAGAGAGACAGAAAAGAATCTCCCTGTGGGGACAGCAGTGGTAGTTAATTAATTAGACTGTCCAATAGTGCATCTTCTTCCTGTGGTCTCCCGTGAGCTGGGCTGAAACCCTCTTGATGAGATCAGAATTCTGCAAACAAATTGCGTCCATTTGAGAATCCTGTGACTGTGCCTCTTGGGGAAGCCCAGAAGAGGCCCCCTTAATTCCAACTCCTGCACACCTCAAGGACAGGAGGTCCCATGGTCCTCTTGTGTATCTTCCCAGGAGTAGGAAGAAAGATGACAAAGGAAACCTGAGACTTGACGAGGAGCCTTCAGGAGCTTGGGTGACCTCCAGGCCTTCCAGCCACCCCTAAGTTTGATGGAAGGCAAAAACAAAATCAGCTCCTCATGTCAGTGTCTGGGCCCAAATAAATTAATAACAACAGTAACAAAATCAATCAATATTTAAGGTCCACACCACATGCACTACACTGTGCTGGGCATTTTCTGTGAATCACAAAGGTACTATTTTCATTCCCATTTTACTCATGAGAAAACACTGTGCCTCACAGCAGTCAAATAACAGACCCAAGTCTATACAGCTGAAAGACAGAACTTTGATTTGACCTGGGTAGTCTAACTCCAGAGCCCTTAATTTGGAAGTAATTGAGGAACTAGTCAGTATTCTGGAACATTATTTGGAGAGGAAAACCACTTTTACTCATGCACACAGACAGCGGAACTGTGATAAGAAAGCATTACCTAGTAAAAGTTTTTATAACCTGTTTTAATGAATATGTGAGTGGTAATAATAACACTAGCTGTCACTTTCACCAGGCAGTGCTTCTTTGATTTAGGGATTGGAACCCATCACCTAGCGCCAGCATCTAGTTCTTGCTGATACCTGATGCTGCTTCTCGGTATTTGCAGCATCAGTGGTCTATGCTAGTGGGTGCTCTTTAGGTGCAAGCCCAGAGGCATTTGCTCTGCAGGCTTTTTCTTCATCACTGGTTTGTGCAAAGCTAAACTCCATGCCTGCCCTCAGCTAGCAGATTCCCAGTGAACAGAGAGTAGATTGAGACAGCATCATTATGCTGCAGTGACTCTGCAGTGCAGAGCCAGACTGGAGTCCCCAAGGGTTCAGGAAGTGGACTCAGCAGGGCCCTGGTTATACAAGCCCACGTCCAGGCTGTGGGCAAGCCAGGGTTGGTTGGAACAGTAGCATGCTCCCATTTCTGGGATGCCACAACCCTGGCCTTCTTACCAAACATGTCACAATGTGTAAGGAAGGACCAAGTCCTTCAATTTCTCTTCTCTCCTGTATTACAGGTGGGTTGGTTGGATGGCCAGGTGTGGTGGTGCACACCTGTAATTCCAGCAGTTTGGGAGGCTGAGGCTGATGGATCACTCGAGGCCAGGAGTTTGAGACCAGCCTGGCCAACATGGAGAAACCCTGTCTCGATGAAAATTACAAAAATTAGCTGGGCGTGGTGGCACATGCCTGTAGTCCCAGCTACTCAGGAGACTGAGGCACGAGAAGTGCTTGAACCCAGGCGGAGGAGGTTGCAGTGAGCCGAGATGGTGCCACTGCACTCCAGCCTGGATGACAGAGTGAGACTCTTGTCTCAAAGCAAAACAAAACAAACAAAACAACAACAAAAACAAGTGGGTTTGTTGGGACACCCTGAAGCATTGCTGTTTTCGAAGCCTCATTCTGCAGGGTGCTTCTGCCCAGCCTGCATCTCCTCCCCTTCCCTGGACACCCCCGCCCCAACCCCGCCTGATGCTTGGAGACAGTGACTGCCCTGGTACTCCCAGCCCTCCACCCTGAAGAATGCTGCTTAGTAATCAACTGACCATGCCTGAGACAAAGGGACATTTTGAGTCTCGGGGACTCTGGTGTTCCTGTCAATTCCTGCTTTTTCTCACTATATTAGGATCCTTGGGGCTACTGATGGTTGCCCAGGTGGTTGTGGAGGGTTATTTTTTTTTCCCCAATTGGATTTAAAAGATTATAAGGGTACAGCTGTTGCTCACGAGCCCCTCCTCGTGCTGGTAGGCCAACCAGCCCAGTGTGTATGATGCCCCCACATGAGTCGAATCAGGAAACAGCCATGGGGACAAAAGGGCAGGACCTGTTGACCATATCCATGCCCACAACTGACCCCTCCACAGGGACAGGAAGAGACACAAGGAACCTGTGTCTCCACTGAGGCTGTGAGAAACAGGCCTGTGCCCACGGGAAAGACTCCAGCAGAAGGGGGATTGGTGGGAAAATTGTGATATTCACAGGCGCTCTCTTCAGAGCTGTCCTCTACCCCCAGGCTCTTTCCCACTGTGTCAGCCACTGTGGACTGCACGCAGCCCTGCCGCCACCCCAACTGCTCCCCTCCATCTTCCAACAAAATTATCTCTGTCTCTTGTCTGTCCATGCCCTTGCTGCCCAGAGAGAAAGCAATCTGAAAAAGGAATTCATTCTAAGATGTTGAGGACTAAGAAGAGCTTGAAAGTAGCCACCCCTGGAGGATCTTCAGTGTAAAAGAGGACTCAGGAAGAATGAAGTTATAAATGCAGACAGTGGGAACATGTTTGGGTGGAGGGTTTGTCTCCAATACCTCTCACATCAGACCCCACTGGCTCTGCCTGTGTGACCTTCTTCCTTTGAAGAGACACTAGCCAGAGGGACTGAAGAGAGGGTACCTTGATAGTCTCTGCTGGAAAATTCCAGAAGTTATGAATTTCCTGGGAGGTCCTCTGGGGGTAACTTGGGGGCATGGAAGTCTCCCACAGACTTGGAGACTGGTCCAGGAATTCCTGTGAGCCAGGAAGCTGGTGACAAAGGGAAAAGAAGGCCTGTCTCCTCTGACCATCAGAACAGGCCTCCTCCTCCCCACAGCCACCAAAAGTGAAGGTGGAGAGGGGAGGTCTGGGTGGCTAGAGTAGAAGCACTGAGACTTGCCATCTGCTCAGCCTGAAGAAGGCAATCTGGGCCTGATGTCTGGCAACCCCAGGGCTCTTCTCTGACCCCTCAGCCCACAGCTCAGTGGAGCCGTTTTCATCCATCAAGGAATGTCTTAGTCAAGGAGAGTCATTGCCAGTACCTTCCCATCTACAAGGCTTAATGGTGCCTGGGGTTAACCTACATTCAGTCTTCCCATCTGCAGAATCAAAGGAGTACTTGTTTATTCTTTCAGTGTCTTGGCAACATTGAGAGAATTTTTTTCAAGTTAGGCCTCAAAGCAGTCTGAAGGGAAGTGAAGGAGAGCAGGTGGGAGTCTTCCTTGGCAATCTCATTTCCCCTCCCTGTCCAGCGGAAAAACAAATTCATGAAGAAGATCCCCAAGGACTCAGAAGCCTCCAACGTGCTCGTGGGTGAGGTGGACTTCCTAGACCAGCCATTCATTGCGTTCGTGCGCCTCATCCAGTCGGCCATGCTGGGAGGAGTGACCGAGGTGCCTGTCCCCACCAGGTGAGAGCCACTGAAACCTGTCCCCATGCCACCCTTAGGGAGCCAGTCAGCAGGGCAGTCAGCAAGCAGTGCTGTTGACCGTTAGTGCTCTCAGAGACACCTCTAAACTTGGAGGCTGCTGGGAAGGGAAATCTTCTGACTAGGGAAGAGTTTTAGAGTTTATTAAAAATAATCATAAAAGAGGCCGGGTGCGGTGGCTCATGCCTTTAATACCAACACTTTGGGAGGCCAAGGCAGGCCAATCATGAGGTCAGGAATTCGAGCCCAGCCTGGCCAACGTGGTGAAACCCCGTCTCTACTAAAAATACAAAAAAATTAGCCAGGTGTGGTGGTGCACATCTGTAATCCCAACTACTCAGAAGGCTGAGGCAGGAGAATCACTTGAACCCAGGAGGCAGAGGTTGCAGTGAGCCGAAATCGTGCCATTGCACCCCAGCCTTGGTGACAGAGCAAGACTCCATCTTGGAAAAAAAATTAAAATAATAATAATAAAGAAGGAGGCAACAACTGGGAGAGAAGTTGTCAGGTGGGCTTGGGCAGCAAGACAAAGGTGAGGATGCTTGATGGGGAGCCTCATGGGAGGGGAAGAGGAAATGTTCTTCCAAAGCAAACATAGGGTTCCATGGAGGGAAGTAAAAATGTTAAAAATGGGCCCAGCGCAGTGGCTCATGCCTCTAATCCCAGCACTTTCAGAGGCCAAGGTAGGTGAATCGCTTGAGCCCAGGAGTTGGAGACCAGCCTGGGCAGCATGGTGAAACCCTGTATCTACTGAAAATACAAAACATTAGCTGGACGTGGTGGTGCACACCTGTAGTCCCAGCTACTCAATAGGCTGAGGTGGGAGGATTGCTTGAGCCCAGGAGGTGGAGGCTATAGTGAGCCAAGATTGTGCCATTGCACTCCATTCAGCCTGGGTGACAAAGCAAGCACCTGTCTCAAAAAAAAAAAAGCATATTGTTCAGGGCCAAAGAATTCTCTTTACTTATTTCTATTTTTCCTTCTCACTTTCATGCTCCTCTTCCTTAATCTTCTCCATCTTCTTTGCAGATTTCTGTTTATACTGCTGGGACCTTCTGGGAGAGCAAAATCCTACAATGAAATTGGCCGTGCCATTGCAACCCTCATGGTAGATGATGTAAGTGGTAACCAGAAGCTTGTACTCCTGAATTTTACAGCTCCTGCAACAAGCACTGCACCTTCATTCATTAACTTATCCAGCCAGCACATTTGAGCACCTACTGTGTAACAGGCACTACACAGGATGCTAAAGATAATGAGAATCAGGGAATAGTCATTGTCCTTTAGGAGAACCAATCAAGTGTGAGGGACAGACGATAATTGTAAAACTAACCATGTGCCAGCTTCCCAGGGGGTCAAGGAGGGCTTCACAGATGAGGGGGCTTTAAAGCTAAGGAGGAGCAGGAGGAAGGCAGACCCAGCACCAGGCTATGAGACAAGCATTCCAAGCAAAGGAAATGGATCAGGCTCAGAGAATTTGGATGGAGGTGGTTTGATGTAGGCTCAGTGTAAGAGCTTCAGGGGCAGGAGGTAACACTGGAGAGGTGAGCCAGAGACTAAACAGAGCCTGTAAGCAGAGCTGAGTAACACTCTGTCCCCAGAGTGATGGGGAGCCTAGAGGACTTTAACTCTTTCCCGTTTGTGCCAAGAATACTCACTGGCAGTGCTTGCAGCTGCAGGCTTTACCCCAAGATAACTTTTCCCCAGGAAATGTCTCACTTTTATTATTTTTGCATTGCTCTTGTATATTGACTTTGGAAACAAAAGACATCATTCTACTTATAGCATTCTGTTTTTAGTTGTGGTATTTCCATTTACAAAATATACTAACTCTCAATCATTGAAAATATCAAATGCTAGAAAACTAGCATTCCTACGAGTGATGCTAACATCATTCTCAGTTTTTGGCTTAAGATTCATTCGATGAATCCAGTTTTTCCAAATTAGATGACTCTGATCATTCCAGTGATTCTGATGTTAGTTGTTTTTAGAAATAACTCTAAGAATAATTTTTATATTTCATTTTCACATTGAAAATCAGTCAGATTTGCTTTGGCCTTAAAGAGTGTTTCTGTAAAATTAAATGAGTGCTGGCAATGAGCTGCACCTTTTTTTTTCCTAAACGGGAAAAGGTTAAACATGAGAATATTCCATCGAATCTGTAAGTCAGAAAGCACATTCTGGAGACAGTGTGAACAACACGACGTGAGCCTCCAAGGGCGAAGGGCTGGAAGTAAAAAATGGATGTGAAATATCTGAGCTCCTTGGACTGGGCTCTACAGAGGTTTTCTAATGCGCGTGCTGTGTGGAAAACTGAAACGGAAAGGTTAAGTAACTCAACCAAAGTCCTACAAGCAAGAATATGGAGACCAGGCCTTCAGATCCAAGACAGGCTGTCTTCCCCCAGCGCCTGCTGTGTCCCGTTGTGGTTTATTTTACCAATGTGCTATGGTCTCATTCCAAAAACTGAGAGTGAGTTGTCAGTGGGAGACGTGGTTCAAAATGATTTCTTTAAAAACTGGATGTGGTATGCTCCCGGGCATGTCAGAAACAGACGCGATCTTTCTTTTCTCCCTCCTCTCTCCTCACCAGCTCTTCAGTGACGTGGCCTACAAAGCCCGCAATCGGGACGATCTGATTGCAGGAATTGATGAATTTCTGGATGAGGTCATTGTCCTTCCCCCGGGAGAATGGGACCCAAATATCCGAATTGAGCCACCCAAGAAGGTACCCTCTGCTGACAAGAGGTGTGTATGAGAATGGGCAGTAGGGGGAGAAAAAGGAGGCTTCAACTCTGTTGGTATCATTTTATTGCTCTTTAAAATATATCTGAGGCTCAGCATAGTGCCTCATGCCTGTAATCTCAACACTTTGGGACGCTGAGGTGGGTGGATCACTTGAGTCCAGGAGTTTGAAACCAGCCTGGGCAACATAGTGAGATCTTGTCTCTACAAAAAGAAATCAAATTAGCTGGGCATGGTGGCATGCACCTGTAGTCCCTGCTACTCTGGAGGCTGAGGCAGGAGGATTGATTGAGCCCAGGAGGCCAAGGCTTCAGTGAGCTGTGATCATGCCACTGTACTCCAGCCTGGGCAACAGAGTTTGACCCTGTCTCAAAATAACTTTTAAAATAAGTTTAAAAATAATAAGATATATCAGAAGCAAATATGGCTAAATGTGAACATTTGTAAAGTCTAGGTGAACTGCGTGTGGATATTGTTAGATCATTTTCTGCATTTTTGTCTGTCTTTTAAGATATTTCATAATTTTGGTTGGAGAGGTGAGGGGTGCTCTGGGGGACCCACTCTCCCTCATCCCCCTTCTCTTCCAGGAAATCTGTGTTCTCCCTAGCAGAGCTGGGCCAGATGAATGGCTCTGTGGGAGGAGGCGGCGGAGTTGCTGGAGGAGGCAATGGAGGTGGTGGTGGTGGTGGCAGTGGCGGCGGGGCTGGCGGTGGCGGGGCCGGTGGAACGAGCAGCGGGGATGATGGAGAGATGCCAGCCATGCACGAAATCGGGGAAGAACTTATCTGGACGGGAAGGTGCCCACCCCAGGCCTCCCAGTGACCCTGCTGTCCTTTAGACTTCTCTCCTTCTCAGCCGCCCTCTGGGGACCTTTCCCAACCACGGCCTGTAGTGCCCACTCGAGGTCACCCCTGCCTTCTTTCCCTCCCAGAGCCCTTGAACCCCATCACGGATCCCCAAAAAGGGTTGCCTCAGGGGAGGGGAATTTGAGACCCATACAAGAGGAGAGGAACCCAAACTTTTGTCTTAGACATCCTTTGGTGCCTGTTTCCTGGGTCTGCTGTAACAAAGTACCACAAACTAGATGGCTTAAAACAACAGAAGGTTACTTTCCTGCAGTTCTGGAGGTGAGGAGTTCCACAGCAGGTGTTGGCAGGACCACCATGCTCCCTGAGGCTCTGGGTGGAATCCTTCTTGGCCTCCTCCTGGCTTCTGGTGGTGGCCAGCAGTTCTTGGTGTTCCTGGCTGGCAGCTGCATCACCCCCGGCTCTGCCTCTCCACCACATGGCCTCCTGTGTGTCTGTCTTCACAGAGCACTTTCCTCTTTGTATAAGGACCCCAGTCATATTGGATTAGGGCCCACCACAATACTTAATCTAAACTAGATTACATCTTCATAGATGTGAGGACCTTAATGTATCTTTTGGGGCAATACAATTCAATAACAGCACCTTTTTTTAAAACTTAATTTACCTATTCAGAAACTTTTTTTTTAAAGAAAATAAGAGAAAGTTCTCCTGGTCTGGGTTTCTTTTCCAGCTCTTGGAGTCATTCAGGTTGACCTAGATTTAGGAAAGGATGTGGCCTTGCAAATCTACATATAAAGCATGACTTTGAGAATGAAGTCATGTTTTATATGCCCTTGGCTTTATACCAGTGGTTCTCATTGTACGCAACTGTGGCCCTCCTTAGTCCCCCTACCCCCGAGCCCAGGGGATTTGGCACAACTTGAGAGGGGCGATGCTACTTGCATGTAGTAGGTAGCTGCTAAACATCCTGCAGTGCACGGGACAGCCCCTACAGCAAAGGAGTATCCAGTCCAAAATATCAGCAGAAATGAGGTTGAGAAACTCTGCTCCATGCTAAGGACTGCATTAGGGGTTATGGGAATAGCAATCCCAGTAAACAATGTCTCCAAACCTAAAATCTCCCACTCAACTGTTCCAGATAGCAAAATCAAAAAATAAGCAAATACCAACCAGTTATAAGGTTTAGGATCTGTTCTTAATGAATCTGTTATAATCTGGGATGCCTCTGTCACTGAAAGTTAGACATACCTGTGTTCACCAAGAGCGGGCACCCTGCAGATGGTCAGGGATGTGAGGAGGACCATCATCTGTGGACCGCAGGACTTCCATTCTCCATGGAATGTTGGGTCTACCCCAGGACATATTCCCATCAGACTTTCTCTCTCCAAAACCCCTATGTCCACCCTTCCCAGTGTGGGTGGTGCCAACCACAAACTCAGTCCTACAGGAATTCATCCCTGGCCCTAAATGTTCTGGTGGGAAGATCTTTGCCCCATCCACCCCAGTCAAGTTCCTTTCCTCGCCCCAGGGTCTGCAGGTTCTTGTAAATAGCCCTGCCCCTGCACTGGTGTTAGTGGTGAGAAAGCAGCCCCTGGGCCTGTCTTGAGCAGGTTCTTCGGTGGACTGTGTCTGGATATCAAGAGGAAGTTGCCCTGGTTCCCAAGTGACTTCTATGATGGCTTCCACATTCAGTCCATCTCTGCCATCCTATTCATCTACCTCGGCTGTATCACCAACGCGATCACCTTTGGTGGGCTTCTCGGGGATGCCACCGACAATTATCAGGTGTGTGTGAGCTGGGGCCCTGAGTGTAAAAGTAAGATCTGCCACCACCTGGTGGCAGCAGGAAGTTTCATCTTGTAATCCCAAAACCAAGGTTTCATCTACCAGCCAGGTTGAGGCCATCAGTATTTGTAATCCTTTACCCTTCAAGTAATAATGATAATAATAAGACAATATTAAAGATCTGAAGCTAAATCTTATTACTAAAGACCACATTTAATGATTATTTAAATAGGCCAAACCGTTAAGGGGAATCGTCTGCTGTGTTATTTGGTACTTTTTCCACTGATACTAGAGTGAATTTAATCAGCACAATTAATGGAGTGCTAATTGTGGCCTTCTCCCCACACTTTTTAAAAACTAACCTTGAATTCTTAGTTTGAAGTTAAGACATTTTTAGAAGGATGGTAAGCTGTGACCATGACAACAACTCAGGCCTCCCTGGGGAAAACAGCTCAGCAGAGACACCTGCCAATCTCCTAGGCAAGGGTCTTCTCCGGTGGAGGCTTCAAAGTAGAGCCATTGGAAAGCTCAGTGCACCAAGGAGAAGACCCATTTGTCCAGCTGCCTTCTGGGCATGTCCACATGGCTGCCCCTTGGGATTCCCCATGACTGCTCCTCAGGGTCCCTCAATTCACAGAGCTGACATTGCATCCCTTGTCTTCCTTCCTGACCTGCTGCTCCCCGCCCTTCCCCAGCATAGCAGGTGATACCATGGTTCACTCAGCTGTCTACACCAGAAACTAAGCATTATCCTTGACTCATAAATCCCAGCTGCTCCATGTGGCCCTCACCACATGGCCCTACCTGGCTCTCACACCTCGCCTCCCAGCATTCTCTTTCTCAGCATTCCTACCCTCCCCACCCATTCTACATTCTGTTTTCCATCAATCCTGATCATCTTTTGGTTGTTCAAGTACATGCTGTTTTTCAGCTCCAGACCTTTTAGACACTACTCCCTCTTCCTGGGACACTGTTTCTTGTCACTCCACTTAAACCCCATTCCCCTGGCCAATTCTCTGCTCATTTTTTGGATCTCAGCTTCCACTTATCTACTTCTAGGGAGGCCTTCCTGACCACCCCTTTACCCCTACTGCGTGCTCCTGTGGCACTCTAAACCTATCCTAGCTTAGCACACTTCTTGGCAGTGGCTCTCAACCAGGGACAATTTTCACCCCAGGAGACATTTAACAATATCTAGAGACAGTTTTCATTGTTATAGCCGGGAGGAGGGTTGCTACTGGTATCTAATGTATAGAGGCTGTGGATGCTACTAAACACACTACAATACACAGGACAGACCCCTCACAACAAAGAATCATCTAGCCCAAAATGTCCGTTGTGCAGAGGTTGAGAAACCCTGCTATATGGAAATTGCCTGGTTACTTACCTGTGTCTCCCACTAGAATGAAGAGGTGTTATCTTGTTCAGTGATGGGTCCTCAGTCCTTTCACAATGCCTGGTACATAGCAGACAGTTAGTAGATTTTGAATAAATGAATTATCTGACCTGTAAAAGCACCAAACAGATGTTTGAATGAATGAATAATCAGATGGATAAATGGACTGTCCTCTGGGAGTAGAATGGACACAGAGAAAAGCACGTCCACTGTTTTGTAGGCCCTGGGTGCCAAAAGGAAGTCACATGGTACCTTTATCTAGATGGAATTAAACAGAGTGACACTGGTCATCGTGGCAAGTTGTAGAGGGTGTAGAAGATGGAGAACAGGATTTAGGCAGGAAAGGGCCCAGAACAAAGGATAAACACTGTGGCCTGGGCCTGTGGAGAGATTGCTGGGCTGCAGCCTGTGTGGAAAGACCCCTTCTCCTTCCTATGCTGAGTCACACATTCCTTGTGCCCCCAGGGAGTGATGGAGAGCTTCCTGGGCACTGCCATGGCTGGCTCCTTGTTCTGCCTCTTCTCGGGACAGCCTCTCATCATTCTCAGCAGCACGGGGCCCATCCTCATCTTTGAGAAGCTTCTCTTCGACTTCAGCAAGTAGGTGTCCCTTGGTGGCCCTCAGTGCCTGCTCTCGCACTTGGGGTGGTATGCTGGGGCCAGAGCAGGAATAGGCCCAAAGGGGAGGTGGTGGTGCGGAGGTGCCAAAGCCATCTTTAACCATGGGAAGGGCTACCAGGTGGCTCCTCCTGACTCCTGCCAGCTACCTGCCTTTAAGACATCTTAGTGCATATTGGCACAGCCAGTAGGGGCCAGCCACGACAAGAGGAGAAAATTCACACCACTCAGTTCGTGAGCAATGGTGATTTGATAGGCAGTATGGTGCATGAAGTCTTGGACTGAAGGTCAGAAGGTTACACCCAGACCCAGGCAGCTCCCATCGCTACTCCAGGCTCAGTTGCCTCCTCTACAACATGAGGGTTTGGACTAGACCATTTCCAAGGGCTGCTCCAGCCCTGTTCTTCCAAAATTCCCATTTTTCACTCACTCTGGTGTCTATTACCAACTGTGGGCACTGAGATGTCTTAGCACCTTCCTGCCTCCCCCATAAGATCTTTAAAAAAAATTTTTTTTGGCTGGGCGTGGTGGTTCATACCTGCAATCCCAGCACTTTGGAAGGCCAAGGTGGGCGGATCACCTAAGGTCAGGAGTTTGAGACCAGCCTGGCCAACATGGCAAAACCCTATCTCTACTAAAAATACAGAAATCAGCCAGGTGTGGTGGCGGGCGCCTATAATCCCAGCTACTTAGGAGGCTGAGGCAGGAGAATCACTTGAACCCGGGAGGCAGAGGTTGCAGTGAGCCAAGATTGAGCCATTGCACTCCAGACTGGTCAAAAGAGTGAGACTATCTCAAAAAAAAAAAAAAATTTTCTTATAAAGATGAACACTGGACCCCCATGAGCTCTCAAATATCAGACAACTGCACCCAAGAATTGTCCCTGTCCCCAGTCTTTCACAATCCCTGGGAGGGCATCTGTGCCACAGGAGGACGGATAAGCCACTCAGGGGTAGGTCTGAGGAGTCAAGCACAGCCAGGAGGCCCGGGCTGGAGGCCCCTCACCTCCCCTCTGCCTTCCAGAGGCAATGGCCTGGACTACATGGAGTTCCGCCTCTGGATTGGCCTACACTCAGCTGTCCAGTGCCTTATCCTAGTGGCCACAGATGCCAGCTTTATCATCAAATATATCACCCGCTTCACCGAAGAGGGCTTCTCAACCCTCATCAGCTTCATCTTCATCTATGATGCCATCAAGAAGATGATCGGTGCCTTCAAGTACTACCCTATCAATACGGACTTCAAGCCGAACTTCATCACCACCTACAAGTGCGAGTGCGTCGCCCCTGACACAGGTGACCGGTAACCCCAGACATGCCGTGGGCCCTCACCTACCCCACCGGCCCCCTGATCCTTCACCACAGCTCTCTAATCCCACTGCTGGGGAGGGGCCATTCAGCCAAGGGCTTACTGTTCCAAGGGAGCAAATACAGGATCTTGAACCCAGTGTTCAAAAGGAAACCAAGGGGACAGTAGCTCTAATAAGAGTCACAGGGTTATCATCAGGAGGGCACAGGGATACCCCAGGAAGGAATAAGGCATGCTTTGCCTCAGTGTGGGGTAATGTGGAGGCCACACCTATCAGGAGTGCCACTCAGGGGTTCCTGCTGCAGGCCAGAGATAGACCTGATGGTGCCTGAGGTCTCTCCCAGCTCCATCAAGTCATGATACGGTGAGCTCTCCCCAAGACAGTGCTGCCCATGTGGCCACATACCGTGTAAGGTGAGACCACACCTGAGGGATGGACATCCACACAGATGGAAAGATGTCCAGAGTGGAGGCTCTGCCGACCATGTCATCTGAGAACAGTTGGAAAACTGGGGCTTATTCAGCCTCTTAGGGAGATGAGTTATGAGAGAAGGACTGTCATGTCACAAAGGAACCGTGTTCACCCTCTGAAGCCACAGGATGTAGAGCTGAATGAGGAACAGGGAGCAGAAACTCCAGGGAGCCAGATGCTGGCTGAATTTAGGGAAGAACCTATAATGGTGGGAGTTAACCACCGTGGGAGTTCTCGGCCTGCTTGGTTGGTAGCAAGTTACTTGGACACTCTCTGGATGTCCATCTGCCAAGGGTGTTGTAAAAAAAGATCCCTGTACAAATGGGGTCAACCTGATAACACCCAGTGCCACTCCTGTAGAGTTACTTTCTGGCCAAAACACCTGTCATCTATAAGTTAGGGCTTCCCATAGAGTCTGAGCCTCCTTCATAGTCATGATCATGCCCCTAAGAGCCTTCAGTGGGATGTGCCCAGAGTGCCCAGGGTGCTGCAGAGCAGGAGCAGGAAGTGTATGTACACATCTCCAAGCACCAAGGCTGGACTCACAGAGAGCAAACTGAGGTCCAGAGACCACCCAAGGTCATGCCAAGCCTCAGTTTCCCTGGCTGTAAAAGAGGGCTCTCAATGCAGGCCCTGCTGGTCTCCTGGGACTCCTGTGGGGTTTCCAAATCTATACCCGATTGAGTTGAAGGAATTAAGTGGATAGTAGGTTGTTCAGCCCCTTAATACATTCCTACAGGTAAAAAAATCAATCATAATATTTGAAATCGAAAATATTTGCTGCACAATTATTATGTGCCCTACTTTAGGCCTTGTGGAAGATAAAGATGTCCTGCCTTCAAGGAGTTCAGTTTTGATTATAACCCCTTCCCTCTGTGACTGCACTGATTTTGTAAAGAAGTCCAGACTTATTTTTTTCTTTCTTTTTTTCTGCCATTAATTTTGAATTATTCCACTAAAATCTAATGACAGGTGATGCTACCCTTTGTCCTGAGCCAAGGCATGTTGCTTGCCCAGAGGGGATCCTACCTGCAGGCAGGCCCTTTTCATTCTGCCCTGGAGCAAATCCTGCCTCTGTGGGGAAGCCCCATCAGGGCCCTCTTACGTGCTTGTATCTTCTAGACTGTAGATTCAGTGTTGCATTGACATAATTTTACACAAACATAGCTTCTAGAAGCACACATCCTTGATCTCTTTTAGAAAAAAATTCAAATTCTGTGTTTTGTTTTGTTTTGTTTTGTTTTGTTTTGTTTTGTTTTGAGACAGAGTCTGGCTCTGTCGCCCAGGCTGGAGTGCAGTGGCGCGATCTCGGCTCACTGCAACCTCCGCCTCCTGGGTTCAGGCGATTCTCCTGCCTCAGCCTCCCAAATAGCTGGGACTACAAGTGTTTGCCACCACACCCAGCTAATTTTTGTATTTTTAGTCGAGGCAGGGTTTCACCATTTTGGCCAGGATGGCTTCGATCTCTTGACCTCATGATCTGCCCGCCTCGGCCTCCCAAATTTCTGGGATTACAGGCGTGAGCCACCACACCTGGCTGCTTTGGCCATTCTGAGAATCATCTGTCCACAGGAAAAAACAAACCCAGGGGTGCTCTAGGAACAAGGGCCGTAGGAGCATATAAGGTGCGTTATGAGGGATATAATGAAGCCACCTGTTCCCAAATAGCTTCCCCTCTGGCTTTGCCCAGGTGCCTGATGTCACCTCATTCTTTGGGGTCATGCTATTGTCTTGGTTCTCAAAATGTGGTCCCTGGAGCAGCAGCATCAGGGAACTTGTTAGAAATACAAATTCTTAGCCTCCTACCCCAGACCTGCTGAATCAGAGTCTCTGGCTGGGCACAGTGGTGCACACCTGTAGTCCCAGCTAGTCAGAAGGTTGAGGTAGGAGGATCACTTGAGCCCAGGAGTTTGAGACCAGCCTGGACAACATAGCCAGACCCTGTCTCTATTTCTAAGAAAGAAAGAAGAGAGAGAGAGAGAGAGAGACAGAGAGAGAGAGAGAAGCAGCAGAAGCAGAAGAGGAAGAAAAGAGAAGATAAGAGGTGAGGAGAGGAGGAAAGAAAGAAAAAGGAAAGGGAAGGAAGGAAGGAAGGAGAGAAAGAAAGAAAGAGAAAAAGAAAGAAAAGAAAAGAGAAAAGAAAGAAAAAGGAAGGGAGGGAGGGAGGGAAGGAGGAAAGGAGGGAAGGAGAGAGGGAGGGAGGGAGGGAGGGAAGGAAGGAAGGAAGGAAGGAAGGAAGGAAGGAAGAAAGGAAGGACCCTGGAGTAGGGTCCACCCTGACGTATATTAAGTCTTCCAATTGATTCTGATGCACTCTTAAGTTTGAGAACCATCGCTCTGTTGAACTATTAGTAATAATGGGCCATTATTGACCATTAAACCCCAGTAAGATTAAATTTTCAGTTTCTTCACAGAAAGTAAAGGAACTAGAACTAGGACAAGTTAGTTTTAATTAAGATAACATGGAAAGGAAAATTCTACACATTTAGGAGACTGGGATGAGGGGGACGAACTGTGGAAGGTTTCTTTCCCAGTCCATGGGCCACCTACTCAGTAATGGGCCCATAATCCTAGTTTTACTGCGAGGCCCAGTCTTAATATAGTATACTCTCACTCTTTGTCACTCTTCATCATAAAAGCTTGTTTGGGGGCACTCTCTCTCTGTTTGCTTTTGCTTCCATTGTAACTGACTTGTATTCTATTTATGAATGCTGCACACACTGATTTGGCTGCTTTCAATCCCAAGTGAGTACCACTTTGTAAACACTGGAATTTTAAAATGTTTGATACTTGGACCCTTTCTAAAATTTTCCAGGTTCTATTTCTTTCATCTTCATCTCAAATGGCTTTCAGATAAACCCTACAGAGTTCTTGATATAAAAGAATTGATAAGCATAAGCAGAAGACATCAAAGGTGGTCTGAAGACATTGGGTAGTGAAAAAGACATCTGAACTCCCCAGGCTCAAGCATCAGCCAGGAGTTCTCTAGCATTTGAGTGAGGACCCCTGAGGCAGCCTTCCTGCCTGGCTTCTCTGTTGCCATCATTAATTGCGCATCATGGTCTTTTGGTCACTGATGTGAGGAAAGGCAATAGAACCCCAATTTCTAATAAATGAAGCCTTCCTCAGAACAATCCTAACAAACCTCTGGGTTTGTAGAGCTTCTAGGAATATTCTGCCATGGGTCAAGATGAAATTCCTTAGCCCCCCAGCAGGCATGGGAGTGAGCAACATAGCAGGGCTCTGTGGTCACATCAGCCCTATGGACAGCTTGTTGGAGATTGGGAGAAGCCCGAAGATAGACCTCTTCTTCTTTCTGGGTTTCTAACTGCCTGTGTCAGCCAGCAGGAGCCACATCGGGCTTACACTGCATTTCAGACATATTGCTGGCAAGCTGGCTGGCAGGCCTGCTCCCTGTCTCCGCAGACCTGCTGCAGAGGGACTGCTTGCCTCTGCCTTCACTAGAGGAGGATGGTGAGGCGGGCCTGGCCTTTGCCTCTACCCTTGCAGTTCAGGAAGAAGAGAGAAGGCAGCAGGCCTCCAAAGCCTGACTTCCCATGGGTGGCCACATCCCGGGGGAGCCTGGCCCTGCGAATGAGGAGCAAAGGAAGCAGGACAGACTGCAGAACAGGGGAACAGAAGGGTCCACGTGGAAAGGAGAGACAGATGACTGTGGTTCCTTGAAACTCTCCCTGTAGACCTTCATGTGATCCACATACGGTTAGGGACACTGAAGCCAGGGTAGGGAAGTATCCATCAAGGAACGCAGAGAGAGCCGCTGAGAGCAGCACCTTTGGGTTCCCGATTCTGCTTCAAAACCTGGACTTTGGTTTAACTTTTCTCAACTTGCACTTGGCAGATTAGAGACGATCATATCAAAGCAACAAGTTCTTTCAGGCCTAGCTGACCTTTAATAAAAAGCACATATGGGCTGGGTGCAGTGACTCATGCCTGTAATCCCAGCACTTTGGGAGGCTGAGATGGGCAGATCACTTGAGGTCAAGAGTTCAAGACCAGCCTGGCCAACATGGTGAAACCCCATCTCTACTAAAAATACAAAAAATTAACCAGGCGTGGTGGCATGCGTCTGTAGTCCCAGCTATTTGGGAGGCTGAGGCACAAGAATCGCTTGAACCTGGGAGGTGGAGGTTGCAGTGAGCTAATATCATGCCACTACACTCCAGCCTGGGCAAAAAAGAGGGCTGGAAGGGAAGGAACATATCTGTGGAGGTGAACAGGGCAGGGAAGTTCACGGTGTAGAGCTGGGAAGTTTATAGGCTCTGGGCCAGCCTTCCTGCGATGGGGTCATGGCTCCAAGTATGAACTGTGTGACCTTGGGTGAATTATATAACCTCTCTGGGCCTCAGTTACCTCATCTGTAAAGTGGGCATACTTGGTGAAGATTTGGGATTTAAACAAATGAATATATATAAAGGCTTGGCATAGTGCATGGCATAGAGTAAGTTCTTTGAACATTTTTAAGTCTAAAAGCCCAGTGGCCAGTGGGGATTCACAAGGCATGTTATCCTCCAGTTTGTCTTAGCACTTTGTCTTGGTCTCAGATTCCTTATTTCAGTTTTTAAAACCAGCTGTTCGTCGTCAGGCGGGTGCTCTCCTGGCCCAGCTGTTCTGTCAGAGCTGTGGCCCAGGCTCGGTCCCACCAGCCCTTCCCTAACTGGGGCAAAGTGAGGAAGGTGGAGAGGGAGCTGCCCTCACAGTGGAAGCCAGGCCTTGGCTCTAAGGAACTGGAAGGAGATGCGAAGGGGTTGGGAATGCAGCTCCCAGCCCCACAGCTGCTGACCCTGCCCCGTGTCATGTGCTCATCCACAGTGAATACAACCATGTTCAATGCTTCAGCCCCACTGGCACCAGACACCAACGCTTCTCTGGTAAGTCCTTTCCTCTCATGTCAGACATTTGAGTGCTTTTGTTTGTAGGAGGAGGGAGAAAAGATTTTGGAAATGAGACCAACTTATAGCCACCCAGACTTGCAGAGGTCAACTCCAACCTCACGTCAGGGTCACCTGCAGAGCTTTGTAGATGCAAACTTTTTTCTTAGGTATATACTGTAAACATCCCACTTAAAAACATGCCTCATTCTGTTAAATCCATGTTTTTTGTGTGTTTTTGTTTTTTGTTTTTTGAGACAGGGTCTTACTCTGTTGCCCAGGCTGGAGTGCAGTGGTGCGATCTTGGCTCACTGCAACCTCCACCTCCCTGGGTTCAAGTAATTCTCCTGGCACAGCCTCCTGAGTAGCTGGGATTACAGGCACGCACCACCACACCCAGCTAATTTTTTGTATTTTTAGTATAGACGGGGTTTCACCATGTTGGCCAGGCTGGTTTCGAACTCCTGACCTCAACTGATCTGCCTGCCTCGGCCTCCCAAAGTACTGGGATTACAGAAGTGAGCCACCGCACCCAGCCCCATGTGTACTAATAATATGATACAAGCCAGGTGTAGTGGTACAGGCCTGTAATCCCAGCTACTCGAGAGGCTGAGGCACAAGAATTGTTTGAACCCAGGAGGCAGAGGTGTGGTGAGCCAAGATCGCACCACTACACTCCAGCCTGGGTGACAGAGCAAGACCCTGTCTCAAAAATAATAATAATAATAATAATAATAATATGACACGCACACAGAGGAAGGAGAGGTAGAGGTGAGGGATGGTAAATAGGGCCGCACAAAGCTGTAAGCAAAGCCTCCCATTCATCTTTTTGCCTTCTTCCTTCTCTTTCTGCCTAGGACCCCCAATTTCCAACAGTGCCACTCTCCAGCCCCAGAGAGTTTATTAGTGTTTCTTCCTCAATGAACCTAATGTGTTCTTTGCACACCTTAGTCTCTGGGGCCTAAGGTATGGTCTGCCTTTCCCAGTAATGACGGTGGTCTTTAGGAACCAGCATCCCAGCCTAAGTGGCTTAACGATAGAAGTTCAATTCCGGATGAATGTAGCACCTGGTAGGACTTGGGGGACGTTTGTGAGCTTTTACTGTCTCCAAGGTTGCTTCTTAAGTTATTCCTGCCTAGACAATTGACTGCTCTGCCTACGGACATCCCAGTTGGCAATTTAATTTAATATTTTTCAAAGATCAGGGTTTTGTTTTTGTTTTTTTTTTGTTTGTTTGTTTTTTGAGATGGGGTCTTGCTCTGTTGCCCAGGCTGGAATGTAGTGGTGTGATCATATCATCACTGCAGCTTCAAATTCCTGAGCTCAAGTGATCTTCCTGCCTCAGCCTCCTGAGTAGCTGGGACTACAGACATCAGCCGCCATGCCTGGCTAATTTTTAAATTTTTTGTAGAGACAGGGTCTCACTATGTTGCCCAGGCTGGCTAACTATCAAATTTTGAGAGAGAAAGAACAGAATCAGTCAGTGCCTATTTCTGAGTCCCTATTATATGCAAGGGGCCATGTACACTGAAGGCTAAAAAAGACATCTGAGAAACCAACGTGGTCCCTGTCCTCAATTTTGTTTTTAATATATTTGTGGAGAAGAACTTGAAAAGTTGTGGGACAGCATAAGCAGAATACACCATGCATTAAATATAGGCCAAATGTGTACTTCAGTCTTGAAGGCAGGAAAGGAGACTGCTGGAGAGGCCAAGGAAAGCCTCAAAGAGGAAGTAGAATGCGATCTGGTCTTCAAGGTTGGGAAAAAGTTGACTCAGCAGAGAAAAGCACATTCCAGACAGAAGGAACAGCATAAACAGAAGGACAAGAGAGGAAAAGCACAAAACCCGTGCAGAGGCTAGTGGGTGGGCTAGGCCAGCTAAGACGGGGTGAAGGTGGGGCTCGGACAGGCAACCACAAGAGACAAGCCGGGAAAGAGATGTGGGGCCAGACCAGTGAGGGCAGCAGAGGAATGCCACCCTGGAGGGGACATTTTAAGTTGCTTTGGTGATTTACTTTTATATATATAATATGATTTATATTATATATAACATATAATTTATATTAAAATTATATAATTATATATTATAATATATAATTAATATATATAATTATATATTATATAATTTATATATAAAAATAATTTATATATAAAAATTCACTGTTGTGTACGGCCTGGTGTCTCTGAGGCATCTGAGACACCAAGGTGGGGAATGGCTGAAATGACCCAAGAGGGGACTGACAAGGGATGTGATCCCCCCTATGTGAAAGGATGTGACAGAGGGGATGGAGGGGAGAGAATAAAGATGAGACACTTCAGGAAGGAGGCATCCACAGGACCTGTGGTTGGTTGATGGGAGCCAGGCCTGCTGAGGGAGAAGGCATCCTCTCTCTGCACTTTTCCTCCTTACTAGCACAGCAGTGCGTCCTAGAACACAGGGAAGAAACACATGTGAGCTCTTAATCTTCCCAGGGAGCTTGTCATTCCATGAACCAGCCCGTCCCCAGAACATCACTGTGTTGCTGAGGACACCATCATGGCCGGGAGGGCTGGGATCCCTCAGAGGGTGCGGGAAGGTATGCTGGCTGCCTGGGGACTGCAGTGGGAAGGACACAGCTGACTCATCAGGAAGATGCTGACCCATTGTCTCCTGTGCTTGGTCTCCAAGTACAACCCCCTTAACCTCACAGCGTTGGACTGGTCCCTGCTGAGCAAGAAGGAGTGTCTGAGCTATGGTGGGCGCCTGCTTGGGAATTCCTGCAAGTTTATCCCAGACCTGGCGCTCATGTCCTTCATCCTTTTCTTTGGGACATATTCCATGACCCTGACCCTGAAGAAGTTCAAATTCAGCCGCTATTTTCCTACCAAGGTAAGCTCACCCTGCAGTTAGGAGGGGACCTGCAGTCAGACTGCTGCTGAGTCCCCAAGAGAGGGTTCTGGTCCACCCATGGATGGACTCCACATGAGCACTGGACCACTGGGGTTTTTCAAGTTAAGTCAGAGAGAACTGTGTTCCCTTGTTGGCCGGTCCCCTTGGCAACACTTGGTATCGTCAGGCTTTTATCTTTAGTCTTTGTCTATAGTATTATCTCATTGTGTTTTAAAAATGTTTCGTTTCCCTGATGACTAATGAAGTTGAAAGCACAGCTATTCCTGTGTTTATTGGCCATGTGGCCAGTTGACTTTCTGTTTGGAAGTGTCTGTTGAAATCCCTTGCACATTTTGGGTTGTCTGCCTTTCTGATTTGCAAGAGTTTTTTATATATTCTGGGTAGAAATGTTTTTGTGATTATATGTGTTGTGAAATCTCCCACTCTGTGACCGTGTTTTTCTTTTTACATCCTTAATGGTATCTTTTGATTAACAGAAATTATTAGTTTTATTGTAATTGAATATTCAAACTTTCCTCAAGGCAAATATTGGACAGCAGATATTCTTGTATGTTACCTTCTAAAAGCTTTATTGTTTTTCCTTTCATGTTAGATCTACAGTCCATCAGAATTGCTTTTGATGTGTACTGTGAGATAGTGTTTCTTTGTGATTTTATACGGTCAATTGTTCCACTATTTTTTAAAGACTATTCCTTCTCCATTGCTTTGCAATACTTCCTTTGCCATATATCAAATGTTCCTATATGACAGGGTCTGTTTCTGGGTTCCTTATTTTGTTTCATTAGTTTATTTATATATCAGTATGACAGTCTTAATTTCTGTAGCTTGTAAGTCTTTATATCTTTGTCTCCCAAACTCTCTCTCTCTTTGTCCTTTTTATATAATATTTTCTTGGCCCTTTGCATTTCCACATGAATTTTAGAATCATCTTAAATTTCACCAAAATGAAAACTTGTTCGAATTTGATAGGATTATCTTTGACTCTGTTTGGGAAGAATTGATGTCTTTCAAACTTTGAGTTTTCTGATTTATGAATACGGTATACTTCATTTATTTTGGTCTTCTTTCTCTCCATGATGTTTTATACATTTTGATCTTGAAGTCTTGAACATTTTTTGTTAGATTTATTTCTAGATACTTGATTTTTTTATATTGTCGTAAATGCTAACTGCTATTTTATTTTTTATTTTATTATAAAAATAATAATTATAATCATATAATCATAATGATTATTATTTTGAGACACAGTCTCACTCTGTCACCCAGGCTGGAGTGAAGTGGCATGATCTTGGCTCACTGCAACCTTCACCTCCCAGGTTCAAGTGATTTTCCTGCCTCAGGCTCCCAAATAGCTGGGACTATAGGCGCCTGCCATCACGCGCGGCTAATTTTTGTAATTTTAGTTGAGATGGGGTTTCACCATATTGGCCAGGCTGGTCTTGAACTCCTTACCTCAGGTGATCCCCCAACCTCAGCCTCCCAAAGTGCTGGGATTACAGCTGTGAGCCACTGCGCCTGGCCCTAACTGCTGTTTTAAATTTTATTTTCTACCAGTTTGTGGCTGGAATAAAACATTTATTAAAACAGCACTTGAATATGTAAACAGTGACTGTGCTGTGGGGTGGGAGGTACTCAGAAGAATTTTAGCAACTCTTTCCCACCATAAACTCCATTAGCACTCTCCTAAAGCCATCTTAACTAAGTATTACAGCTGCTACTGCTACTACTACTAATCATAATGATAAAATCTTTGATATAAATAGTTGAATTTTTCCCAAATTTTCTAAAGACTGAATAAAAGGTGCTTTAGGAAGCTTTGCAGTATGTAAACTGAGTAAAAAATAGTTTGCTTACAACACGAGTGCATCCTTAAGACGAGTTCTCTTCCTTCCTGCCCACTTCCAGCCCAGAGCATATCCCTATCTCCTTTTATGTAAAAATTCTCAAGCAGTCGCTGTATCTGAGAATATCTATCTGTTGCCTGTAGGATGAAAAGTAATTCATGTGGCATGGAGTTCTTGCACCACCAACATTTTTTCCCTCACATTACTTAAAAATTGCTCAATTGCCTCCTGGAATTTTGGGTTGCAGAGAGGAATGAGGCCACACCATTTCATACTCATCAGATTGGTAGACAGATGAAGGTGTTGGGACACCAGATGTTGGAGATGGAAAGCAGTAGGTGGGAGTGTAAACAGATACATCCAATTTGGAGAGCAACTGACACTCTCTGATTAGGTTGGACCATGTGAAGTTGCCCATATTTGACTATTTCGACCTACAAAAAAAGGCAAATTCATGTGGTTTAACTTAATAACCATTCATATGGTTTTGACGTCTATGCTAGGAATATTATAGAAAAGGAAGTATAAACCTAGCACACTACTTGGTTCTACTGTGACTAATATTTATATGATCATGATAATATAAAGCTGTTACTAATTTTCAACTTTTGGAATTGACTTACAGATAAAACACACAAACCATGTGTTTACAGAACAAAACATGAGTGTTCTCAGCTTCGACAATGGAAAGATCAAAGTGGAGTTGTCACAGGAAGGAAGGGGAGGAGGAGGAGAGAGGTAGTAGGAGGACAGAGGCAGTGGTCCTCACCTTGCAAGATGGAGAATGAGAGATATTAGCCAAAGCTAATGTAAAGAGAGGTTTGATTATGTAACTTGAAAGTATAAAGGAAACCCATAGGAGCTTAAAATTATCAAAGATTAGGAATAAGGAAAGGACAGGAGGCATAGTGTAAGTAAAGGGAAATTCTTATCAATAGATAATCCCTTAAGTTAGTAAATGAAAATATTAAAGTATATGCATATTAGTTAATGACATGGAGGGAACCTCCAGAACAAGTAAAATCAAGCAGACATAGTAGATGGATCTAGAAGGTGGGGCTGGATTGAGAAAAGGGGAGGTGGGAGACTTTGCTTTTCCCTATAAGTCTTCTCCACTATGTGAGTTTTTAACCAATTATATATATTATGTTAATAACAAATTTAAAGAGAAAAGGGGGATGCAGGGAATGAAGTCAATGTACTGTCACCTGCCCCTGCCCTTCAAATTGCCTTCTCTGAAAAGATATAAAAAGGCCACAGGGTAGACGTTGGGGGACCTTCTGTCCTGAGACTTCTGGACATAAGTTGGTTTGGAGGGGGGGTCAGAGGACATTGATTCAGAATGGGCAGGAAGGTCAGGTTCAGGACTTGGTCTAGGAAGGGCCTTCAAGTTAAGAACCTGGCCTAGGAAGGGCCTCCTGAGAAACAGAGGAACAAGAGGCTCTTGGTGGACAAAAGGTCTGAGAGTAGTCAATGGTCCCCAGTGGAATTGAGGAGCCTCCCTCCCAGCCCAGGTGGGGTACAACAACCTGTCACAGATTTGTAGGAACTAAGGTTTGCTTCAGAGTTCAGCCTTTGCCCTCATCATACCTGCTGGGTGCCCCAATTCAGACTGTCATACCAGAATACATCTTCAGCAGTGGCTGCCATGGCCACATGGATCATAACAGCTCCCACATTGATCACCATATGCCAAGCACTCAAAATGTGTCACAGTTCAGTTACACCTTTGAGGGAGATACTACCATCATCTCCATCTTACAGAGAAGGAAATTGAGGCTTGGAGAGATGACACACTTCCCCAAGCTCACACAGTTAGCGAGGAGCAGAGCCCGGATTTGAGCCTAGTTCTGGTGCCTTCAGAGCCCAGACTTAACAGTTCACCTCTTTGCTGCTTGGGGACTGGGACTGCCTGGAGCTGGGTGGGTGCTTTACTCACTTCTTTCACTTGCTCATCTCCTGTCTGCAGGTCCGGGCCCTGGTGGCTGACTTTTCCATTGTTTTCTCCATCCTGATGTTCTGTGGAATCGATGCCTGTTTTGGCCTGGAAACCCCCAAGCTGCATGTGCCCAGTGTCATCAAGGTTTGCCCCTTGCCACCACTCTGGGCATCCAGTCTGCCTGCCTACCAGCTGTAGATTCTTTCCCCTCTGTGCTGATCAAACTCTTCTCCTCTCAGTCAAGAGACCATTTTAGTTCTCTGTGTGCCACCTTTCCTGAACACTGGCTCCCAGGAGCTGGTCCTTTGAGGTAGGGTGGGGAGGGGTAACATATTCACCAGGAAATCCTGATCTGTAGTCTTGAGGTGAGGAAGGCACTGAAATTCACCCTCCAACTCAGCAGAAGCCTCTTGATTTGAGGGTCTCCAGTTCCCTAACCTTTGGCAATCTATAAGCTGGGCCAAATAGGATCTATTGAAACTGGTCCCTTAGAACAGTGATTCTCAAAGTGTGGTCCTCAGACCAATATCACAGCATCACAGTCATGGGGAACTCGTTAGAAATGCAATTTCTCAGCCCCACCTGTGGAATCAGAAAAGCTGGGGGGTGGGGGGGGTGGGACCAGCAATCTGCATTTTAACAAGCCCTTCAGGTGACTTGGAGTATGCTCAAGTTTGAGAACCACTGCTTAGAAATTACCCACTAGTCTAGAAGTGGTGACATATGCTTGTAGCTAAACTCAGCCCTACTCCCTCATAAGAGCACCAACCAGCCAGGTACAGTGTCTCACGCCTGTAATCCCAGTACTTTGGGAGGCTGAGGGGAGCAGATCACGAGGTCAGGAGACCATCCTGAGCAACACGGTGAAACCCCATCTCTACTAAAGATACAAAAAAATTAGCCAGGCGTGGTGGCAGGCGCCTGTAGTCCCAGCTACTGGGGAGGCTGAGGCAGGAGAATGGCATGAATCTGGGAGGCAGAGCTTGCAGTGAGCCGAGATAGCACCACTGCACTGCAGCCTGGGTGACAGAGCAAGACTCCATCTCAAAAACAAAAAGAAGAAAGAAAGAAAGAAAAAAAAAAGAGCACCAACCATCTCACCAGAGTAGGGAGTCCAGATTCTATAACTTACCCTCCCTGTCTTTAAGGGTTTTTTTGTTGTTGTTGGTTGTTTGTTTTTTGAGACAAAGTCTTTTTATATATTCTCCTCATTCTTAACATGCAGGACTGAACTGATGTTCAGCGTTTTACAGACAATTCTTTAATGCTCCCAGACAGGCGACTCAGGAGAGGCAGAAGCAGCTGGCCCTGGGCCCACCCATTTCTTTATTCTTTTCTGTTGGGCCTCATTCCTGCTGTTTGTTATTTGCGGTGGGTGACTGTGCTCTCTCTCCTGGCTGCCCTTTGACCTTTACCTCCATGTTTCCTGACCAACCCGAGGGCTGTTGCAGCAAATTACCTCCTTAGTTTTACAGACACTGTTTGAGTGCATGCTCCTTCCCATATCTGAATTTAGTCTAAAGTTGCAGGTACCTAAGGTGTTTAAGGGAAAAGATTGCACTTGAAAAGTACCCAAAGTCAGGGAAAGTTGAGGAGGTGGGACAGCAGGCCAGGCAGCAAGTGCCCTGGGACAAGAGAGAGAGGAAAGGGCCCCTCTCTGTTTGCTCCCATTCAGCCCACACGGCCTGACCGAGGCTGGTTCGTGGCCCCCTTTGGGAAGAACCCGTGGTGGGTGTACCCAGCAAGCATCCTGCCCGCCCTGCTGGTGACCATCCTGATCTTCATGGACCAGCAGATCACTGCCGTCATTGTCAACCGGAAGGAGAACAAACTGAAGGTAAGGCCGGTACTAGGAGCAGAGGCATAACCTCTTTCTTCCCACAAAGTCAGAAGGAGCGAAGGGAGGACATGATGCTTCTTTCAGTACTTTGGGCCAGGAAAATATGAGGACAGAAGACTGGAGTTCCCACTTGGTGTGTTGAGGGGGAAAAGTGACCTCCAGGTGTGGGTAAGGCCACCAGGGCTGGAGTGACTTTCTGAGGACCAGGACCAAACTAGGTTGGGCCACTGGGCACAGGCTGTCTGTCTTTCCCAAAGTGGCATCGAGTTCTTATGAGAATCAGCAGATCCTGATGGGGGCTCAGCCTAGAACACTGAGGCAGAGGAACTTCCTTAGCCTTCCTGGTCTCTGCAACTCCCCATCCAGCCTGTGAGCCTGAGAAGACTCGGGTCACCCCCTCCCCCATCCCGGTCTGGACCACTCTAGGTGTGGCCTGTCCCAGCTGGGGCCCCACAGGAACTGTAGAGACCCTGTGGCCACCTTCTGGGCCCTTCTCCCCAGAGACCCAAACCCAGGGCCTCTCCAAGCTTGAACATCCCTCTTTTCTACAACCCATGTCCCTTAGGCAGTTCACCCTTTCAGATGGGGTGGTAGGACCTGCCCACCTCTGCAATCCTTGCAAGGAGCACCTCAGGCCCCTTCAGTATCTTCTGGAAGGCAGGGGGGCCTTGAACCATGTTCCACAGAGTGGCTGCTTCCAGGAGGAACTGGCTTCCCAGAAACTTCTCCCTCCCCCACCCCCACCCCACTCCTGCAGAAGGCTGCTGGCTACCATCTGGACCTGTTCTGGGTGGGCATCCTCATGGCCTTGTGCTCCTTTATGGGGCTTCCCTGGTACGTGGCTGCCACGGTCATCTCCATCGCCCACATCGACAGCCTCAAGATGGAGACAGAGACCAGCGCCCCTGGGGAGCAGCCCCAGTTCCTAGGAGTCAGGTAGGAGGGTCAGGGCCTAGGAATCACCCAACGGGGAGGGGCCCACTCGGGGAGGGGAAGCTGGCTTTGCCTGCCACAAAAGAATTTGGGCTCTGATGGCCCAAGAACCACAGGGACATGAGTGCTATCCCTGGAGGCAGGGAAGGAGAGAGACAGAAGTCCAACTCTAAGTGGGGCTTTTTACCTACTGGGCTCCAAGCAGTATGTATATCCCATCCATAAACATGCACACGTGCCAGACACTCATCTGCATCGGCCACCCAAGGTCCCCACAAGGCCTCATGCTGTCCTGCTCTTTTTCTCTTCCTCAAGACCCTCCAGGCCCCTACTGCCCTGATGGCCCTCTTGTGGGTTCAGGTCCTGCTCAGTCTCCATTCCTCCAGAAGGCTATCCCAGGATCACCCTCACTCCCCGGTCTATGGCCCTGCCTGTCACTCCTGTTCCTTCACTTGCCCCTTCTCTTACACCCCATGGTAGGCAGAGAAGTATATCTTCAGCCCCTTAGGGCCTCCAGGGTGAGACCACACCAAACCCTGGCATTCACCTACATGGCTGCCCTAAGAACTTCTCCCACTATCTTGGGATACTTGGGCCACCCAGCCTGCCCGAATGACGCTTCTCTGCCCGACTGCAGGGCTCACCTGCCTCCCACCCCTGACACCTGCTCTGCTGGTGTCCCCTTCTCCAGATCCTCATTCACTGTGCCCCACAAAAGTGAAATCTTAAAATCAAAGAGCAGAGTAATAGCATTTTATCTTGCATGTATCCTCGCAACAATAGGTGCCATTATTATCTGCATATACTGAGGCTGAAGACGGGCAGGCTCCTGCCCAATGCCGCATAACTAGCAAGTGGCAGAGCCAGGATCCAGCCCACATCAGTTCTGCTCAAGCACCCCAGCTACGAGCCACTACACTAAGCGGCCTCCCTCAATGCCCCTGCAAGATGCCTTGGGGGCTGCCTGTCTTCCCACATATGGTTCAGCTGGGCCTCAGGCAACCAGGCAGAGCTCCACACAGAAGCTCTCGAGGCCATGGCCTTGGACACAAACTTCAGGTGCCCACAGTGAGCAGGAGGGCCGGAGTGGTCACCAGGCATTTCCTGGTACACTCTGACAATGTGTTCTTCTCTGCCAGGGAACAGAGAGTGACCGGCATCATCGTCTTCATCCTGACGGGAATCTCTGTCTTCCTGGCTCCCATCCTAAAGGTGAGGTGCTGCACTCTCACCTAGGGCCTCGTCGCCTGAGAAAGCAGAGTGGATGCCTCAGGGAGGGAGGGGGTCCCCACATGGCTAGGGATCACGGGCGTATCAGCCCCCTAAAAAAGGCACAGTCTTGGCCGGGCATGGTGACTCACGCCTGTAATCTCAGCACTTTGGGAGGCCGAGGCAGGTGGATCACCTGAGGGCAGGAGTTCAAGACCAGCCTGACCAACATGGTGAAACCCTGTCTCTACTAAAAATACAAAAATTAGTCGGGCATGGTGGCTAAGGCTTGTAATCACAGCTACTCAGGAGGCTGAAACAGGAGAATCACGTGAACCTGGGAGGTGGAGGTTGCAGTGAGCCAAGATGGTACCACTGCACTCCAGCCTGGGCAACAAGAGTGAAACTCTGTCTCACGAAAGAAGAGAAAAGAAAAGAAAAGAAAAAAGAAAAGAAAAGAAAAGAGAAGGAAAGGAAGGAAAGGAAGGAAGGGAAAGAAAAAGAAAGAAAGGCACATTCTTACTAGGCCAAAGCAATGTTTCCACAGTCACCATCGTTTTCTGTGATACTACAGTTTTTTATCATCACCAATCCTCTCTCCCACCCCTCCCAGGGCCACTCTCACCTTCTGGAGGATACTCTTCCCTCTGAAAGTTCTGCCAAGTTCTAGCCCTGCTTAGATCAGGAACTTCCTAAATGGGGTGTGTGTCCACATTGCTGGAGTGTGGGGCTCATGAAGTTTAAAACTTGCAGCACGAGGCCAAACATGGTGGTACATCCCTGTAGTCTAGCCACTCAGGAGGCTGAGGTGGGAGGATCACCTGAACTCAGGAAGTCTTGGGACTTGGGTGACTTTTTCCCACACAGCTTGAAGTTCCTCTTGCTCATATCCCACCACAACAGCTAAGAGATTAAGTCAAGTAGGGGTACAGTGGAGGCAGGTGTCCCCCACAAGGGTCTCTTGCTGGAGAGACTCCAGAAAGCAAGGTGTTCCCACCAGGCTTCCCTGCTCTCCACTCCAGCCAATCGCCCATCAATCTCCCTTTCCCTTCATCAGTGCTCACGTAAGACTTTCCTTTCTTGAATTAAGTTTACCTGTAATTGCCTCAACCTTTTGCCGATATTATTTTTCCTCTTTGACTATCTCAAAACAGCTCATGACCAGGCATGGTGGCTCATGCCTGTAATCCCAGGACTCTGGGAGGCCGAGGTGGGAGGATCACTTGAGACCAGGAGTTCAAGACCAGCTTGGGCAACATAGTGAAACCCCCATCTCTACAAAAAATACAAAAGTTTAGCCAGGCATGATGGTACGTGTGAGGCATGATCACTTGAGCCCAGGAGGTCGAGGCTGCAGTGAGCCGTGATCATGCTGCTGCACTCCAGTCTGGGCGACAGAGTGAGAACTCTTCTCAAAAAAAAAAAAAAACACCTCATTCAGAGGTGACCTTGTAAGAAACAAAGGCTAAAGAATCATGATTCTGGCTGATGTATTTACAATGGAAAATATTTCTGGCTTGAGAATTGGTACTGGGCATACCTGAGCAGTAGGTAGGAGGCTAGCATTTTTAAAGGGATATTTCCCTCGTTGGGGAAACAAATTGCACACAGGAGGGCAAAGATTTTGTTTATTTAAAAATATATTTTAAATGACCAGGGACTATTTGCTTTTGTAGAGAGGGTTCCAAGGTGCCGTTGTGTATGTCAATTTTGACACTGTTTAACATACAAGTATTTGCATTAAAAAGCTCGAATCAGGCTGGGTGTGGTGACTCAAACCTGTAATCCCAACACTTTGAGAGGCCGAGGCAGTTGGATCACCTAAGGTCAGGAGTTCAAGACCAGCCTGGCCAACATGGTGAAACCCCGTGTCTACTAAAAATACAAAAATAGCCGGGTGTGGTGGCTTACGCCTGTAGTCCCAGCTAGTCAGGAGGCTGAGACGGGAGAATTGGTTGAGCTCAGGAGGTGGAGGCTGCAGTGAGCTGAGATTGCACCACTGCACTCCAGCCTGGGCAAGACAGAGCGAGACTTCATCTCAAAAAAAAAAAAAAACAAACAAACCTTCGAATCAGCCAGGCGTGATGGCTCATGTCTGTAATCCTAACACTTTGGGAGGCCGAGGCGGGAGGATCGCTTGAGGACAATAGTTTGAGACCAGAATGACCAACATAGCAAGACTCTGTCTCAAAAAAAGCAAAACAACAAAAACAAACAAAAAAAACAAAAAAAACCTTCAAATCCAAGAACAGCCTTCTTTAGGGGCCAAAAATTCCTCTAAAGCCCTTCTAGTGTTGACATAGTGCTCTGTGCTCTCCAGAGTGCTGTAATATGACCACAAGGAGGAGCAGCCTCCGCTCACCATGGGGAGCCACAGCTGCAGGTGGAGAGAAGGCAAGGGGCAGAAACAGCTGAGACAGACAGCAGAAAAATGCTTTGAAAGGCTGTGAAAGATTTGGAATCATTCTTGTAGAGTGGGATGAATTCTATGATCCCATTTTTGAAAACGCAAACAAAATGCCTGTGTGCAAGTTTGGAGGGATGGGTACCCACCAAACTATTCGTGGTTAGTTGGTGATGAGTGCTGATTAGTTTACACACTTTTGTTCTGCTTCTGTTTTATGTGATTGTGTATGAGGCATGATTTCTGTGTTTTTTGTTTTTTGTTTGAGACGGAGTCTCTGTCGCCCAGGCTGGAGTGCAGTGGCACGATCTCAGCTCACTGAAACCTCCGTCTCCAGGTTCAAGCGATTCTTCTGCCTCAGCCTCCTGAGTTGCTGGGATTACAGGCATGCACCACCATGCCTGGCTAATTTTTTTGTATTTTTAGTAGAGATGGGGGTTTCACCGTGTTGGCCAGGCTGGTCTCGAACTCCTGACCTCAGGTGTTCGAGGTGCTAGGACTACAAGCGTGAGCCACCATGCCCGGCCTGATGGGTGATTTCTGTTAAGTGTCCCAGGTACTCCCTGCCGATGTAGGTCAGCTCATTGAAGTTCCCCATGCCCCTGCAGGCTGAGCAGTTTTAGGGGCCCTCACCTGAGGCTGGAGGTAGGAAGGAGCTGGCAGGAATGAGGAGGGGGCAGTCTGTGGAGTCTTCTCACTTTCCAGAAGGTATTTCTTCAGCCAGACCACATGGCTTCCGCACAGTGCAGTGAGGGACCGGGCCAGGAGAGCAGTTGCATGCTGGGCCAGCCTGAGAAGGGGCAGTACAGCCCCAGTGACCCTCATCTCCACCCCCGCCCACACCCCAGTTCTGCTGACTCTCGGTTCCCCCAAACATCCAGCTCCCCAGCTGCCTCTGTGGTCAGGAGACACTGTCATCCAGAACAGGGTGGCCAAGGGCCCGACCCAGGCAGAGGCCGATCCAAAGCTCTGCTCTCATTTTAGTGCATCCCCCTGCCGGTGCTGTATGGAGTCTTCCTCTACATGGGCGTGGCCTCCCTGAATGGCATCCAGGTAAGGCTTTCACTCCCCAGGCTGCATGATCTGGAGTCAACATTCCATGTCTGGTTCCATGTCACCAAGACCCCCAATTCAGTTGTCCCAGTTGTCCCCAATTGTCCTAATTCAATGAAAGAACAATAGTAATAATGGTACTACCACTGACTGATACTACCAGGCAAAATAAATATGCTAGGCACTTCATAGGCCTCACATAATTGAATCTATGTAATTAAGTCCTCTGATCCCCATTTTACAGATGGGAACTGGAGGGTCAGAATTCAAAATCCAGAAGGAACTGACTCCAGTGAGCATTTCACTATACCTCCTTCTCTTCCCTAAGGCAGAAGAAAACATTTTTGTTTTGTTCTGTATTTACTGTGAAATCCCAGAATTCTTAAACAGTTTATGTTACAATTAACTTGCACTTTCCTTGAATATGGACAATGTCTATTTTGTGGCCAGCTCCAGGGCTGTTCCCCTCAACCGGGGCTCAGGACCCCTTCTCTAAGACCCCATTATGCATCCGCCTAGACACCTCCAGGCCCCGTCCCATGCACCCTTAAGGCCTGAGCAGGGGGCTTCCCCTCTCTGAGATCCCACCCAGGTACCCCTTCCGCTAGTCCCAGGGCCCAGCAGGCCCTTGGGACCCAGCTGCCTGACTGAGCCCACGCTGTCCACCTAGTTCTGGGAACGCTGCAAGCTCTTCCTGATGCCGGCCAAGCACCAGCCGGACCACGCCTTCCTGAGGCACGTGCCGCTGCGCCGGATCCACCTCTTCACCCTGGTGCAGATCCTCTGCCTGGCGGTGCTCTGGATCCTCAAATCCACGGTGGCTGCCATCATCTTCCCGGTCATGGTAAAGTGGGCGCGGGCTTCCCTCTCCTGCCGGGCAGGTTGGCCTGGGCAACCCAGAAGTGCAGCGCAACCTCCCCTCCCGCCACCTTCTACCGTCCCATCAGCTGTGACCTGGCTCCCTTGGGTCGCAGAGGCTGGCACAGAATGACCTGATTCGAGTTGTGGCCATCCAGGCCAGATGGTGTGGGGTGGGGCAGAGAGGAGGCGGAAAAAGGAATGTCAGAGCAGCTCAGCGAGAATGCAGGAGCCACCCAGCTCTGGGGAGGGATGGAGAAAGCAAATCAGTTCAACCTGGAGACCAAGTTCCCACTGCCAAAATTCCAACCAGTCTCAGAAGTCGATAAGTACTAAATATAGATCTTTCCACCCTTCAAGACAGCTAAATTGGAAAAGCTAAATAGTGAAGTAGTGGGGTGGGGGAAGAACGAGGGTCAGAGATCAAGAACAACAAAACCCAATGACAGTATATATAAAGCTTGAGCAAAGGAAAGGTTACAGTTCTTTCACTATTCTTGCAAATATTATATAAGTTTGAAATTACTCCAAAATAAGAAGTGAAAAGAACGTAAAGCCAACAACATATTGCCTCTGGCCACCTAGATAACTCACTGAGGGCAGTAACCCAGGCCCCCTTTGCCAGGAGCCTGGAGTGTGTCAGCAAATGCCTGGTGAAAGCCTGAGGGTTCCGGGGTAGGGGCCAAAGTAAGGACACTGAGGAGAACTTGAAGTGCACACTCCTGGGGGGGTCTAGTCCATGGTTCTTGACCCTGGCTGCCCATGACAATGAACCCAGATCAATCCAATCAGAATCTCTGGGGAAACCCAGACTTTGGTATTTTTATGAGGTCCACGGATGAGCATAGACGTGCAGCCAGGGTTGAGAACCCCCACTGCAGGGAAAGGGAGATAGATCCTCACCCCAAGTGCCCTCAGGGGCCTCAGAGCTGTTGAAGGGAAAGGCAATAGTAGTCATGATTAGCATTTACTGAGTGCTGTTCCACTGAGTCCACACCAGTCCCTGAAGCACTAGTAACCCAGCTTTACAGATGAGAACATGAGGCTCAGAGAGCATGAGCAGAGTGACCCTGGGCACATAGCCAGACAGGGCAGGACAAGGCAAGACCCACACCCTCCACCTATTGATTTTTTTTGTTTAATTTGCATACAGTAAAATTCAATGGGTGGGTCTATGAGTTTTGGCAAATGTACAGAGTAGAGACAGACATAAATTCTTGGGCCTTACCTGACCTGCTAAATCAGAAACTGGGGGAATCCAGTGATTTGTGTATTAACAAGCGCTCCAGGTCCTGGTGCATGCTCAAGTTTGAGAACCACTAATTTATGTATTTATTTTATTTGTTTGAGATGGAGTCTTGCTCTGTCACCCAGGCTGGAATGCAGTGGCACAATCTTGGCTCATTGCAACCTCCGCCTCCCGGATTCTAGCTATTCTTCTGCCTCAGTCTCCTAAGTAGCTGGGACTACAGGCACTCACCAACATGCCCGGCTAATTTTTGTATTTTTAGGAGGGACAGGGTTTCACCATGTTGGCCAGGCTGGTCTCAAACTCCTGACCTCAGGTGATCTGCCCACCTCGGCCTCCCAAAGTGCTGGGATTACAGGCGTGAGCCATCATGCCTGGCTGAGAACCACTAATTTAAAGAATAACTGTAGTTCTCCAGCCCATGGCCTTTCTGAGGCTCCCCACTTCGGCTGTCACAGGCTGTCCCTCTTGGTCACTGGTAGGAATGGTCACTCACCTGAGGGGCCAGACAAGAGGAACCATGGTGGAGGGAAGGTGAATAATGGCTTATGGGAGCTTCGAGATGGCTCCAAAGACACCACAAAAAGTTCCTGAACTCAGCAGACTGAGGGAGGAAAAAATCTATGCTTGAGTTTGGGCATTAAGACCACAGTTTTCTCTAAACTCACAAAACTGTAGTCTCTCTCCCGTTTCCCACCACAGATCCTGGGCCTCATCATCGTTCGAAGGCTTCTGGATTTCATCTTTTCTCAGCACGACCTGGCCTGGATTGACAACATCCTCCCAGAGAAGGAAAAAAAGGAGACAGACAAGAAGAGGAAGCGAAAGAAAGGGGCGCATGAGGACTGTGACGAGGAGGTGGGGAAGATGTGAGGCCGGGGCACAGAGGAGAAATTGAGAGTCCTTCTCTCCACTTTTGCCAGGGCTAGGGAGAGGGTGGCTTCTTGGGCGGCCTGTGGCAGTGCCTAGGCCCAGTCCAGGATGGGCTGGGGCATCTGCTTGTCTTGATCTGGGGTGCTGAGGGCTCTTCTGTTTATGTGAATATCCTCAGAGTGGGCCAGAGTGAATGAGACTCCGTGTCCAGGGAAAAGGTGATTGGCCATGCCCACTCTTTCCATCACTGTGGGCTTTATGGTTGTGATCACAGCAAGCGGGTTCCTGCGGGAAGGGCCGGGAGGCAGCTCCAGCATGGAAGGAGGTTATGAAGACTGACCTCCAGAGAGTGGAGCACACTTGAGGAGAGGTGTCTAATGGGGACTTAAAAGTAGACTGGACTCCAGACAGGCAGAAGGGGCTGGGAACAAGTTTTGCTTGTGCCTTTCCCTAGGGTACGGGGGACAAAGATGGGGAAAGAGGCAGGTATCCTGACCGAAAGGAGACACTACATTTCCCAGATGCCTGGGACAACATGGTTGCCCCATCTGCCCCTCTTCTCCCATCCTCCCTTCCCATTTCACCCCCAAAACACTCAGGGAGTCAACAGACAAGGGGCCAGTCCAGAAATAATAGTGAATCACTAAACATGAGGCAGAAAGATTCTTAATTCACATGTTCATTACATATGATGTCCCCGCAAAAGGAAGTGACCTACCCAAAATGGACATGTAGCTACATTTCTAAGAAGGAATTAAAATAAGTCCTGACTTTGCTGGTTTCTGATATGCTAAGCTGCCTGTGCCATCTCCTCGTGCTCTGCTTGCCTCCCAATCTCCCAGTTTGACCCAAACTCACGTCCCTGCATCCACCCTGTCCTGTTCTCGTGATTTTGCCTCGTGCAGATGAAACATGTTCAAGGCAAATCCCTTCTGACTGGCTGGTGATGATTAAACCATCTTCTGATCAGTCAGAACTCCCCTAGTCCTTAATCACTGTGCTTTTCCAGGAAGAGTCCCATAATATATGTGTTTGTAGATGATTTGTAAAGGTGGGTTCTGAAAACAAAGAAAGAGACTACGTGCCTTTTAAAGACACTTAGTTGTCATACTTTCAATAAATATTTGAGTGGCTACCACATGCCAAGAACTATTACAGGGTTGGGAAAAAGAATCTCTGAATTATGATATATCAATGGAAAAACAGGATTCAATTTACACAAATTCATTTTACTTGTCTTTATAGTAACAGTTATTGTGTGAGGTTCATTCCCAAGTGACTGGTTGCTGTGACAGATAAAACCGTTTTGATGACATTCCTGGAAGAGTTGCGCTCTGTTCAATGGTGTGTATAGGACAGCAGGCTAACTGTGCTCATTCCCCCTCAGTGGGCCCCAGGGTGTTTGCAGCACCCGTTTTGTCTAGAGGTGAAGAGAATGGTGGTTTGCACTGCACATGCATGCATTTTCCATCTTGGCAAGAAAGCCAAGTTGTTGGCCGGGCGTGGTGGCTCACACCTGTAATCCCAGCACTTTGGGAGGCCGAGGCGGGGGGATCACGAGGTCAGGAGTTCGAGACCAGCCTGGCCAACACAGTGAAACCCCATCTTTACTGAAAATACAAAAAATTAGCTGCGCATGGTGGTGCACGCCTGTAATCCCAGCTACTCGGGAGGCTGAGGCAGGAGAATCACTTGAACCCAGGAGGCAGAGGTTGCAGTGAGCTGAGATCACGCTACTGCACTCCAGCCTGGGCAATAAAGCAAGACTCTGTCTCAAAAAAAAAAAAAAAAAAAGAGAAAGAAAGCCAAGTTGTTGTGTTGGTGTTTATCCTCTTTTCCCACTGTTTTTCTTCAGCCCCAGTTCCCTCCTCCCTCAGTTATAAAGATTCCCATGGAAAGTGTCCAATCAGATCCCCAAAACGGTATCCACTGCATTGCCAGTAAGTAAAACACATGGTGTCTCTCCCTTCCTACTTACTACTAATCCTCCATGTCTTTCCTCTAGGAACTTTCATCTGTAACTCAGGGGGATCTAATCATTTTGGATGCTACAGCAGCAGTCTTCAACTTTTTTGGCATAAGGGAAAAGTTTTGTGGAAGATAATTTTTCCACAGACCAGTAGGGGAGTGGGGAATGGTTTTGGGATGAGACTGTTCCACCTCAGATTCTCTTAAGGAGTACACAACCTAGATCCCGCGTATGGACAGTTCACAATAGGGTTCTCACCCTTATGAGAATCTATTGCTGCCACTGATCCCACCGGAGGTAGAGCACAGGGGTTAATGCTTGCTTGCCCACACTCGCCTCCTGCTGTGTGGCCTGGTTCTGCTACTGTTCCATGGCCTGGGGGTTTAGGACCCTGCACTAGAAGACCTTTGTCCTAGGCAGAGATCAAAGAGAACTGGGCCACCAGGACTGGTACTCCAACCAGATGGGAAACCCCAGAGCAAAGCCTGCAGACTTGAATGACTAATCCTCACTTTAGTTAAGGCAAAATCCCTCATTCCCTCCTTTCCCTACGTGTCCCCAGATCCCTGTGGCATCTCCTGGCCCTCTTTTGTGTTGTTTCAAACCACATCAGTCCAAACATGGCCCACCAGGCCTCCCATGTTTTCCAGTGGCTGTTGAAATGGTTGAGGGCTCAGAACCAAGCTTTCCCCTTAAGAGAAATAGGTAGCATAGCACTTGGGTTATAAGTCAGGCATAATTGGAGATCCCCGTGATGGTTGTGCTGTGCCTCTGTGTGAATCCTCAGCACCTTCTCAGCAGACAGCTGAGAGGGAGGCTGCCTGGGCGGGATTGGGCATTGCTTACGGAAATCCTGGGAGATTCTATTGCTGCCTTTAACGCCTCCCAGCCTCAGCTCCCCATAGGTGGCCAGTCCTGTCATCCAGGCAACATAGCCTGTCCTGAGTCTTCTGAAAGATCCCTACCTTAGTCCCAAGCCCAGTGCTTCTGATACAGGGCTTGCCACCCTCAAAGACAGATTAGGGGTGGGTGGCCAGGGCGTCCTTCCCATCAGCAGTATCCCTCATAAGCACCTCAAGATCTTGAGTTTCTCAGGCTCCTCCCTGACTCCCATCTCTCTCCTCCCTGGCCCTCCCATGCCTCACACCCCCTAGCCCTGGCTGAGAGCCTTCTGGGTGAAGGAGTAACTAAGCCCGAAGCCACACATCTCTGAGGCCCTGTATTCCTCTTGCATAGTGTTGGCTATAGGATTAGAGAAGGAAAAGAGAGGAAATGGTGGGGGAAGCCCGGAGAAATATGGTGCTCAAAACTGCTCCACATCTGACATTTTCATTTTCCTACCAGGAAAAAGATCTTCCAGTTGGAGTTACTCACTCTGATTCTTCCTTCAGTGACACAGAACTTGATCGAAGGTAAACACTGTTAGGTAGACTCCTTGCGTATTAGGTAAGAGACTGGGAAATGGTCGGGAAGGTGGAGGGTCTAGGATTTCCCAGGCTAGCTGTCCTCTCAGTAGAAGGCCCTTGCTGGTCCCCAGCTGGGAGTCAAAGGCTGACAAACCTGACTCATCATTCAGGGCCAAGAAACAAATATGTCTTCTCACTGACATAACAATATGGTTACAACACACAAAGGTATTCAACTTTAGTAAAGGAAATTCTTACAAAAGACTAGGTAGAACAAAAATTCAAAGTAAATGTTGTGGCCGGGCACAGTGGCTCATGCCTGTAATCCCAGCACTTTGGGAGGCCGTGGTGGGCGGATCATGAGGTCAGGAGATCAAGACCATCCTGGCTAACACGGTGAAACTCCATCTCTACTAAAAAAAATACAAAAAAATTAGCTGGGCGTGGTGGTGGGTGCCTGTAGTCCCAGCTACTGGGGAGGCTGAGGCAGGAGAATGGCGTGAACCCGGGAGGCGGAGCTTGCAGTGAGCCAAGATCCCACCACTGCACTCCAGCCTGGGCGACAGAGCAAGACTCCGTCTCAAAAAAAAAAAAAAAGTAAATATTGATAAAAGAAAACAGAAGCCAGGCGCGGTGGCTCACGCCTGTAGTCCCTGCACTTTGGGAGGCTAAGGTCGGCAGATCACAAGGTCAGGAGATTGAGACCATCCTGGCTAACACGGTGAAACTCCGTCTCTACTAAAAATACGAAAACTTAGCCGGGCGTGGTGGCGGGCGCCTGTGGTCCCAGCTACTTGGGAGGCTGAGGCAGGATAATGGTGCGAACCTGAGGGGTGGAGCTTGCAGTGAGCCGAGATTGCGCCACTGCACTCCAGCCTGGGTGACAGAGAGAGACTCCATCTCAAAAAAAAAAAAAGGCAGGAAAACTAGGCATGGCTTAGGTGTAATATCACTGAAAGCCAGGATAAATGAACGCTAAGGATCAAAACCCCAGGGTACTCTGTAGAAGGAATTAACAGCAGGGCTAATTAGCAAAGGTCAGAAAGGGTATGGAGGAAAGCCAACATCAGAGATCAACATCAAAGCTAACATTAGAGATCCACTCGAGATGGGAACTGTTAAGAATAAGTTCCAGGCCAGTTGCCAGGAGCCCCCATGCCAACAATGTGATTCTGTTCTTCATGAGAAGCCACCCGTGAAAAAGGTGAGACTCCCTGATGATGACACAGTGGGCTCAAACACAGAAAAGAGGAATTCAGAGGCAAGAAAGGCTTTACTTCATTATTACTTGGGAAGATGCCAGGGGCAGTCCCACTCCTACCTTGTGCCCTAGAATGGACAGGGATCAAACAGTAATTACAGCACAGGCTATCCCAGGTCTAGAAGATCAGTCTCCAGGCACAGAGGGCACTCATCCAAGAGATTTTTGGGGAAACAGGGGACAGGGGATCTTCTGAATTATAAGGCAAAGCTGCTACCCCAATGCCAGGGTGAAACAACAGACTTTTCCCCAGTTCAACCCTCCCTAAGCAGCAGTCCCAAGGATGATCTAGCCCAAAGTGTCACCTGTCCCATTTACATCTCCGCCTTCCTTCTCATCCCACATCCCCAGGCAGGCTCCTATATCTGTGATGCCACTGATCATTATACAGTAGTACACACCAGTATTAGGAGAAAGCAGTCTATCTTCTTTTCATTTATAAAATAATCTGCACGAAATTGACTAACTGCTCCCAATTTCAGGCAGTAGAGAGAAAATTTGGACCAGGTTAAGGGTTTCCAAAACCCTGTTAAATTACACAAAGCCCTAAGACAAGGTCAGAAATGAGGAAAATTTGGTAACTGGAGATGGCATCTCCCAACCTCATTGGTGTTTTACTGAATTTATGAAAACAGATGGAGGCAAAGACCACTAAATAGCAAGATTCTATTTCACTGAAAGGCTCTGCAACGTGGTCTGGTGTAACAAAGACTAAGCATCAATGATCTACCAGGTGCGATGCTTAATCCCTGGGTATATAGAAAGAATGGCATGCAAGCAAAGAGCACCCTGTGCAAGAATAATGGAGCACACAGGGAGGGACTAGCCTCGTTTTGAGAATCTAGGAAAGAGAAACTGGAATCTGCCAGACATAGAGCGGGGCAGAATAAAGAAAAGGAAAGGCATTGCAGGCAGTGGACACAGGCGCGAAGTACCATTTGAAAACACACACACACACACACACCCAAAGAGCAAAGAACACTGCAATGGATAGGGCAAACTAAGCAGGCAGGACTACAAACACAGAAGGCTGTGTTTGTGTTTGTGAGAAGACAGACACTCCTGTCTTCTCACACTAAAGAGCTTAGATTTTTTGAACAATGAGGAATCACCAAATTTGTGATTTCAAAAGTTCACCTTGGCAGCAATGTGAAAAATAGGTTTACAGGGCGAGACCAGGTGCATAACTGTGGCTGAAGGCCAAGCCAATAGGAAACTGCTCATTCTGGCATGTGCTGAGAGTTCAGAAGCGAAGACAGAAGTATTTGCATTAGAGCCCCACTCTAGGGGATGGGTTCAAAACACCAGGAGCTACATAATCCTTCTTTCCTACTTCTTGTTCAGCATCACCTTGCACTTCAAAATCTCCTGTCCAGCTTCACCTGCTTTCAACTACTCACGGAACCCAGTGTTCATGGTGCCACAGGTGAAGATAGAGATGGAGTCAGACTATGACTTCACAGACATGGACAAATACCGAAGAGAAACTGACAGCGAGACCACCCTCTAGGATGAAGCAGCTTCTCCCAGATGGGAGATGGAGAGCCTGGCTTAGTCTTCATTGGGAGGGTCTTAACTTCTCTGTGCCTGTTTCCTTCTTTATCAAACAGAGGGAGTCCTTCTGCCTAACAGAAAACTGGAGATCTGTTGATGAAAAGTACTGCTTAGATGCAAAGCTCTCCCCTTCCTTTCGTAGTAATTAAAATACCTAAAGCTAAATATTATATTTTATTTTCAAATGCAGTCCGGCATAGGAATTCTAACATTTCTTTGGAAATAAAAAAAATGCTTGCTTCCCCAAACCATAGCTAAGATAAAAGGGCAATAGTCAATTCATATTTAAAACAAATACCAATTTAAAATTGTTTAAAGGTTAGATTTAAATACAGATGTTCTCAAATGAACTCATAATATACTCTTATGTCACTAGACCATCTTTGGAATATTTGGCAATTCTGCATATTAAGAAATGCTGAAAAGGTCATATCTTTTCTCCCTGTCACATCCAGTTTCCTAAGGGTTATATGAAAAGTTTGAACCAGCTGGGCACAGTGGCACACACCTATAATCCTAGTACTGTGGGAGGCCGAGGCAGGCGAATCGCCTGAGCTCAGGAGTTCGAGACCAGCCTAGGCAACATGGTGAAACCCCATCTCTACTAAAATACAAAAAATTAGCTGGGCGTGGTGGCATGTGCTTGTAGTCCCAGCTATTAGGGAGGCTGAGGCAAGAGAATCGCTTGAACCTGGGAGGCAGAAGTTGCAGTGAGCCGAGATGGTGCCACTGCACTCCAGCCTGGGCAACAGAGAGAGACTCCGTCTCTAAACAAACAAAAAGTTTGAACCATCTGCAGTATGGGACTTGCTCCAGAAGTGTGACTGGGGCTTTCCCAGATTGAAAAGCCAGTTCCAAAACTCTGTTAATGAAAGAACCAATCCATCTGAGTGGATAAATGTTTCTAAAATAAAATAGTTCTTGTTAAAGTGAAATTTGAAACCACACGTTAAATCAACAAAATGATCATTTAAATTAGTATCACTGGTTTTTCATACCTGGAATCACATTTCATTGTACATTTGGGTGGGTCTTTCCTGCAAATTTTCAACATTTACTCCCAAAGTCAAACTCCCATTTATGTGAATACAGGTTAGACAGAGGTAATATTACATTTTACATTATAACTTCGCAATATTAATCAACCTAGTACTTTAAAGGAATGATTGAAAACTATTTGGGAAGATAAAAACCAGTTTCAATGAAGCAAACCTATTCCTCATGAAACTTAAGATCAGTCATTTTACCTTCAGTCCACATTTAATGAACACCAACCATGTTTATTTAATGCCTACTATGACCCTGACAGCCACAGTGCATCTGACACTTACTTTCTCCAAAACAACTATGATTCGAACCTTGAGTAAATCACTTTGGTTACTATATTTGCTCAAGATGACAAATGCAGGTGCTTTCTTTTTTAAAGAAAAATGACACTAGATCATTAACAGATCAGGACAGGTAACTGGCCTCTGTAATCCCGAGTCTAGTGGAGTGCCCGGTCCACAGAAAGCTCTCAATAAGTGTTTGATTACATTTAATCTCAGAGCTCCCTTCCAAGGGATACTGCCAAGAGGTAAAGCTCTAAACCTCTACTCCTACTGAGAGCAGAATTTCTTAGCTAATCCAGAACCATCTCCTTTGCTTAAGTATAAATTCTTGCCAGCACAGTGGCTCACACCTGTAATCCTGCTGCTTGGGAGGCTGAGGTTGGGGGATCAGTAGAGGTCAGGAGGTCAAGACCAGCCTGGGCAACATAGTGAGACCCATCTCTAAACAAATGTTTAAAAATTAGCCAGGCATGCTGGCACACGCCTGTAGTGCCAGCCATTTTGGAGGCTGAGGCAGGACGATCCTTTAAGCCCAGGAGTTCAAGGCTGCAGTAAATTATGATCATGCCACCACACTCCAGCCAAGGAGACAGCTGGAACCCATGTCTTATAAATAATAATTAATGTTTCTAAAAAGTATTTTATTATCATCCGCTCCAATCCTGGGGAAGCTAACAATCCACCCTTAACATTTCAGTTTTAAAACCTGGCTGATTTGGAATAGAACTTTGTCCAAATTAAATTGTAGAAATGCTATGGATTCAAGAGTAAACCTGCTTGATTAATCAGACAAGCTGGAAAATTACTGTTAATTTCTTTGTTGTAAATTGATCACTGTAATTTTACCCTACATGTCATTTATATTTTGTATATACATGAACATTTTAATCTCCATAGCTTTTAACAGGTTGACATAATACTTCTCCATGCAGTCAGTCATTTGTTCCACTTGTAACTGTAATTCAATAAAATTTAATGCTGTCTGGTCATCTAGCTCCATGTTTAATAATCTAGGTAAGTAAGCAGGCATGGCTTATAGACATGAGCTATACCTCACTTACAAAAACATCTCCAACAAACTATCGAAACTTCTTTCAACTCCAGAGAACTATGAAAAGAATAACGCCAGCTGGCAGAACAACAAGGATGGAGGTAGGTCAACTCAACTGTTCTTTCTCTTTCTGCCTCAAGCTGCCTAGAGCAGGAGCTACTTCTGCTAGCCTGAAAGCCAAAAGCCAAAATAGATAAGAAACCTACCTCAAGTATTTAACAGATTAAGCTCCTAGCTCGGCACAATCTGTTGGGATATAAGACTGTAGGACAGGCCTGGTGCGGTGGCTCACACCTGTAATCCTAGCATTTTGGGAGGCCGAGGCAGGTGGATCACTTGAGGTCAGGAGTTTGAGATCAGCCTGGTCAACGTGATGAAACCCCGTCTCTACTAAAAACACAAAAATTAGCAGGGCACGGTGGCATGCACCTGTAATCCCAGCTACTCAGGAGGGTGAGGCAAAAGAATTGTTTGAACCCAAGAGGCAGAGGTTGCAGTGACCCGAGATCATGCCACTACACTCCAGCCTGGACAACAGAGCGAGACTCAGTCTCAAAAAAAAAAAAAAGGCTGGAGGACGAGGCTGGTTTCACCAAAGCTCTTTAAACCTCTGTTTGGGCGTGGGTGGCCCAGGCCTGTAATCCCAGCCCTCTGGGAGGCTGAGGCAAGAGGATTGCTTGCTTGAGGCCAGGAGTTCAATATCAGCCCAGGCAACATAGCAAGACCCCATCTCTACAAAAAAAAAAAAAAAAAAAAAAAAAAAAAAATTATCTATTTAAGGCTATAGGAGTAAGTGTTACTGAATATAGGAATATCTACATTGATTAAATGAGAAAAAAACTCTGGTTCAGTCGCAACTAAGAGTCATAGGAAGACAGAATTTCAGAAATTCATACCACACCAGACACGTGTTTTATTAAAAAATAAAAAAAAAAACCTTTAATCAGAAAATCTAATTAAATTCAATATTAACTCAAACTCTTAAAAAATTTATGGAAAAGTCAACAGGGTACATACATCACAGAAAAACAGGCAGTTGCTGACAGTTCTTTGGTGGAAAAGTAAGTTGCCTACTTACCCAAGCTGCCCAAATGATTATCAAGCTAAGTTTGTTTTTCAAAAATAGGTTTTAAGATACACCAAAGAAACTAAACAATACAAAAATTTAACAATGAAGTTAAAGTATATAACAAAAGCCAAATATGACAACACACATGAATAATGTATAAAAGAAGCCTTTCAATCCTAGAAAACTAAAATGGGGAGAACTTACTGAAGGGTAACATACATAAAATGAGTACTAATAGCAAGGAATAATCCTAAACATTTTCCCAATGACTAAACCTCAAAAAGACAGCTTAGGAAAACGATTAACATGTAGTTTTTCTTTTTTCCTAGCCAATTCAGTTCTACTTAGATAAATCTGGTTACCAATCAATACACATATAAATTAGAGTAATTTTTTTTCTGCTCAATTACTACCATTTTTTCTTTTTCACCTTTTTCCTAATTTTCTCTAGCAATACTTTTCCTTTGGTTTGATCAGTTGAACTCAAAAGGTTTGGTACCTAAAATGAGTATTCAACTGTTATTAGAATAGCACTTGGGAAATGCAATCCTAGAAAAGGCAAATGTGTAACCGAGTTTGACAAAGTGAAGCGTCCATTCTCCATATAGTAATGTCTCCCACATTAATCACTAGGTTAATGGCTGCTCCTGGCTAGATCATAGGACCCTGCATGATACTGGAATGCTCCCTGGTGAGGTACTGCACAGGTACGTGCAGAAACACCCACCCATTTAAGCTTTCAATAAATACAAGGCATCATTTTAAACCATTTCAGTAGAATAAATTAAAAATATTGCATTTCTATTGGCCTGCTTTTCTTCTTGAGCTGGCCTGGAGTGCTGTTTGTGACATAGAAGACACAATAGTTAATTAGTGGCTACTCCAAGCTCTTTAGACTTCAGCACTTCTCGCTCTTCAAGCCTCAGCACCTTTTTTGCAGCAATGATGGTATTCTTCATTAGCATTGCCACTGTCATGGGGCCAACACCTCCAGGAACTGGAGTGATATACCCGGCTTTTTGTCTGACTCCTACATAGAAACAAGACAGGCAGGCTGCTTTAGTTATGGCAAAGGACATGTGTGTACTTTAATATATTAGGAAACAAGCATGCAAGGAAGGAAAAAGTAACATACATAAGCATAAAACTCAAAAATCACATCTACATCATTCAAGGTTTTGTGAATACACTAGTAAAATAACATGCACATACAGAATTGTTAAAGGAATATTTATACATCTAAGTAACCTATAAAGAAATCTATTAAACATCTAGTAGGTTAACTGCGTGGGAGTTGTAAGTATAATAATAATAAGCATTACCTCAATAGCTGCCTACAGCATTTTATTAATTTAAGTATAATTTGTCCAAAGCAGAAAGCACAGTAATTTTTTAAAAGTGAGAAGTAAAAAAAAAAAAAAAAAAATTACCCTAATGTTAAAGTGAAAATCCTTACATACCTAGGCATGGGTTTGACTGCTTTAATAAAAACAGAAAGCTAGGAATAGGATTATCAGCATAGGCCGGGTACAGTGGTTCATGCCTGTAATCCCAGCACTTTGGGGGACTGAGGCAGAGTGTGAGGTGGGGGAGATTGTTTGAGGCCAGGATTTTGAAACCAGCCTAGGCAACATGGTGAAACCCCATCTCTACAAAAAATACAAAAATTAGCCAAGCAAGGTGACATGTGCCTATAGTACCAGCTACTCAGGAGGCTGAGGCAGGAGAACTGCTTAAGCCCAGGAGGCAGAGGCTGCAGTGAGCTGAGATCATGCCACTGTACTCCAGCCTGGGCAAAAGAGAGGGACCCTGTCTCAAAAAAAAAAAAAAAAAAAAAGAAAAAAAAAAAAAAAGGATTATCAGCATATATTCAGATAAACATTCTATCTTAAGAACTGAAAGGAGAGGCCAGCTGCAGCGGCTCACACCTGTAATCCTAGCACTTTGAGAGGCTGAGGCAGGCAGATCACGTAAGGCCAGGAGTTCAAGACCAACCTGGTCAACAGAGCCAAACTCATCTCTACTGAAAATACAAAAAATTAGCCGGCGTGGTGGCACATGCCTGTAATCCTAGCTGCTCGGGTGGCTAAGGCAGGAGAATCACTTGAACCTGGGAGGTAGAGGTTGCAGTGAGCAGAAATCACGCCACTGTACTACAGCCTGGGCAACAGAGTGAGACTGCCTCTTAAAAAAATAACTGAAAAGAGACATCTACTAGTATATTCTAGTATTTCAGGGGTATGGTTTTTTCCTGGACCATTTTAACTTTCTAGGCCTGTGATCTCTCAGTGTGAAAATGAGAACTCTCAACACTTTTTGGGAGACTCCATGGTTTAGAAAAATCACTTCATCAAATTTTCAAACTTGTTAAAAGTCAAGAAATTGCTTGAATTATGAAGTAAGTTCTAAGGAAAAAAACAATTCCCTGAAAAGTTTATAACTGCTCTCCATCACTATGATGAAACAACTAAAATAATTTTAGAATGGCTGTAATTTTAAAAAGGTTTCTCTAATTCTTATGAAAAGCACACTAAGGCCAGGTGCAGTGGCTCACACCTGTAATCCCAGCACTTTGGAAGGCCAAGGTGGGAGGATCACTTGAGGAGTGATCAGACCAGCGTGGCCAACATGGCGAAACCCCGTCTCTACCAAAAATACAAAAAATTAGGTGGGCGTGGTGGCACATGCTTGTAATCCTGGCTACTGGGGAGGCTTGAAAGCACAAGAATTGCTTGAAGCTGTGAGGTGGAGGTTGCAGTGAGCCGAGATGGTGCCACTGCACTCCAGCCTGGGTGACAGAATGAGACTGTTTTTAAAAAAAGAAGAAAGAAAAAGAGAGAAAGAAGAAAAAAGAAAGAAAGGAAAGAAAGGAAAGGAAGGAAGGAAGAGACAGAGGGAGAGAAAGAAAGACAGAAAGAGAAAAAAAGGAAAAGGAAAGAAAGAAGGGAGGGAGGGAGGAGGAAAGAGAAAGAGAAAGAAGAGAGAGATGGATGGAGGGAAGGAGGGAGGGAGGGAAACGTATACGGACTGGGTGCAGTGACTCACACCTATAATCCCAACACTTTGGGAGTCCCAGCTACTCAGGAGGCTGAGGCAGAAGAATCGCCTAAACCTAGGAGGCAGAGGTTGCAGTGAGCCAAGATCGCGCCACTGCACTCCAGCCTGGGCAACAGAGTGAGACTCCCGTCTCAAAAAAAAAAAAACTAAATAATCTAAATGTCCATGAAAGGTAGTACTTACTGATTTCATTTTTAAAAACAAAATTTTACCATTTACCTTCAAAATCCACATCTCCAACCAACTTGGGTTTGGCAGTTACAGGATCATGAACTCTATTTATTCCCACATCAATGACTGCTGCTCCTTCCTTGATCATATCTGCTGTGATCAGATTTGGAATACCTGGAAATGGAGAAAGGAAAAAAAGCTTAGTACTGAAAACAGTCTACCTGTCAGACTGTTGTCTAATTTCAATTTCAAGAGATCTAGAAGAACTAATTAACATGTTTTATTAAAACCTGTTAAAAATATTAACTAAGGAACCATTTACTTTTATTATTTATTTATTTTGGTTCCTGACAGGAAACAAAAGGAACCGTTTGAACTTTATACAGTAAATATTAATATAAATATTTTGAAAGTTTAGGAATAACATTCACCCATCCAGACTATAATGTAATGCCAGAAACCAGTATTCCAATCACAACTCTATCCTCATCTTGGTAGGCAGCTCAAAGAATCATCATGAGGGGAAGGATGAATAGTAGCTAGGCAGGCGAATTCTAAGATGAGGGGTACAACCTCCTCTTCTGAGGTGAAGCCCTTCCCTCCATTCACCTTGTGTTCTTACCTGCAGCAGATATTACAATATCTGCAAGAATTGTATGTTTCTTCAACTGCTCTTTGGGAGTATATCGATGAGATATTGTAACAGTGGCATCACCTAGAAAGAAAACAATAGATGTCTTGATTTCTGACACAAAGCTGGGACTGGATTAGGTCTCAACTAGTCAAGTCACTGTAGAAACTCAACAATGGCGCGGTGGCTCACGCCTGTAATCCCAGCACTTTGGGAGGTCAAGGTGGGCAGATCATGAGGTCAGGAGTTCAAGGCCAACCTGGCCAACATAGTAAAACCCCATCTCTACTAAAAATACAAAAATTAGCTGGGTGTGGTGGTGCATGGCTGTAATCACAGCTTTCTTGGGAGGCTGAAGCACGAGAATCGCTTGAACCTGGGAGGTGGAGGTTGCAGTGAGCCAAGATTGTGCCACTGCACTCCAGCCTGGGCAACAGAGCAAGACTCCCTCTCCAAAAACAAACAAAAAAAAACTGACTTAATGGCTTGTGCCATATTTTCTGGGCAGCTAATTGTCATTTACTTTTTTAAAATTAATACCTAATTTCATATAGCTTTAAACCATTGGTCCTAGCTCGACTGTTTCGAGTCATATAATTAAATTTATTCATCGTATTTTTAAAGCCTTTTAAGAATTTTACCTTTTCTAAGCAAAATATCACTAGAATTACTCAAGGTTGTTTTAAGTATGTTGAAGATTGTTGAAAGTATAGTCTTGCCATTATTTCTGATATAATCATGTAAGGTCATTATTACAATAATTATGTGATAACAGATTGACGAGGCTTTACCTTAGAACCAATTAACAGAACTTGACAGGACACATTACAGTCATATCAATTCAATCCTTTGCAACGGCTTAAGATTTTTTCCACTAAATGACACAGTATCTTTGAATAAGAACTGCTCCTTAGCTCCAGTTATCAAAGCTATAGCTGAAATTTTCTAATTGCCTATAATCATGCTTATACTCAAAACTTAAGTTTATTTCTGAAGCTAGTTACATGATAAATGAATAATAAAGAAACTCAGGTGACACTGGGTGCAGCTTCTCTACAAAGGTTACTCCCTGAATTATCTGTTAACAAAATTTCAACAAATACAAAGTATAACACAGTTAATACTTCCAAACATGCACAGGATGGCTTCTGAGAGTTCTTACATGGGGAAAAAAGGACAGTGTTCCCTGAAAGCAATTTCCTTACCTCCGGGACGTTCATGCGCCCCATCTGTGTGCAGTAACATTGCAATGGGCATTCCAACATTTTTTGACCTTCCAGCCACAACCACATTCTTCCCTAAGGTTGGAATACCTATAAAAATATATGTATTTACATTAAAAGTAGTGCCAGTCCAAAGCAAAACAAAGTCAGATGGCCTAGAACATGAAGCCAATTTTGATAGTGAAGTCACTGAGCTTAGTGCCTCATCAGTCAACTGGAGCTGTAACTTGCTACACATAAGGGCTAAAAGAAAACAGGAGAAAGCATACTATAGGCTACAAAATGTTACAGGAATGTGCACTGTCACCACTATTAAATCTTAAATTTCCTTCACTGAGGGCTGGGGTGGTGGCTCACACCTGTAATCCCAGCAGGAGGTTGGATTGTTTGAGGCCAGGGAGGCTAAGGTAGGAGAATTGCCTGAGGCCAGGAGTTTGAGACCAGCCTGGCAGCATGGTGAAACCTTTGACTCTTAAAGATTAAAAAGAAAAAAAGAACGTTTCCCTCACCGAGGCTTCCAGATTAAAAGCAAAAACTGTCATAGGCAACTGTTAAGGGCAGGCACGATGGATCATGCCTCTAATCCTAGTACTTTGGGAAGTGAGGGGGTGGATCACTTGAGGTTAGTTCGAGACCAGCTTGGCCAATGTGGTGAAACCTGTCTCTACTAGAAATAAAAAAATTAGCTGGGCATGGTGGCGTGTGCCTGTAGTCCCAGCTACTCAGGAG